ATCTCCAAAAATTTTGGATCTCAACCTACCAAGTACAGAGAAACTTATATGTAGTGCATCAACACTGCGAAAACAGAACATTGTCAATGTAGTCAAATTATTGAGTGTGAGAGATTGATCAAATTGGTAGCACCAACTGCCTTTTTTTTTTCCAGATACTGACTTTTCTATCTGCAGCAGAAAGTTGCAATAATCAGAAATGTTGCAAGCTACTCTGCTCAAACTAGAGCAAGTTATCTTAGAGTGACAGAGAGGAACTGTATGACTGTAAATAGTTCCTTAATGCCTAAATTTGCAGCTTGAGAAAAATTGGTTTTGACTTGAGCCTAAAAAAAAAAAAAAAAACACTAATAAAGACACCTGCTGTTTTCCTTCTCAACCATAATGAGCTTAGATGTAGGTAAGAGTTGGAGACTGTTATTGCCATAACCTGGTACTCTCTTCCAACTTTCCAAAAATGACTAAGTGGAGAATCCCTGAGAAAAATGTGAAGAAAGAAATAACTAAAAGAAGATTTTATGATCCATCAGATTGAGCACTATGCTCTGTGGACAATACAGATCTTCAAATAAATTTCATTTGGTGTCTTTTGTAGTAAAGCTACATATTCCATAACCATGAAAGGGTCCATGTAATTATTAGAATATATCTATTTTTTGAACATGGATGTCATATTCTATTGGTCACAGACACACATATTAGCTCTTAGAGAAGCTTTAATATAAGTATTAGAGGAATAGTTTGACCCCAAGTATTTGGACTTCTTCCTCAGATTCTTGAAGTTTGGTGAAATAACCAGTTCCCTCAAATCAATTGTTTTGATAACCATTTGTTTTCCATTTGTCTTCTACTTTTATTTTAGGTTCAACTGTAATAGAAATTTTCTGTCATCACAGTTTATCATATATCCATCTCTATAGATAGCAGTTTTTCTCTGATTTAATATTGATATTGGAAGATCAGTTGATTAACTTTCCTATTTGTCATGAAACCAATAAACCAATTGAAATTTAAATTATTTAACACTTTTATTTAAATAAGTTTTCCAAATAGAGAGCTATCAAATTACTGCTAAGTAGTCTATAATAAGTATTCATATTTTCAGGCTTCTGAATGTTAATGACTTGCTTTCAGTTTTGCTTCCCTTCTGATCAGATATGCAAGTGTCTTGGTACTAATCAAGAAACTGAAAGCAGATTTTGAGGATGAGAGAAAAACCTGATATTCTCATTTCTTGAAAGCTTTCTGCTGTACGTAGTATGATGCTGATGTGTGATTATGTACCTGCTGATTTTGCTACGACATCTATAAGTGATTTTTTTTTTTTTTGCTAAAGGAATAAACACAGTTACAGGTTGCTGGTAACCTCTTTTTTAGAGTGTGAACCTCCACCTGGAAATTTTTGACTCTACAGTTACATTACTATGCTATAATCCTAACAGCTTGGAGAGGTATACCTTAGGGCAGATTGCTATTTACACCGGTGCAGTTTTCTGATGGGCTTTCAGAACTCTGTCAATCATTTTGAAAAGTGTGAAAGTAAATATAACCCACATAGCAAGTTTGGTAATGAAGAGTTGCAGGAACAGAGTAGCTGTTATGACTCTTGAGTGCATAATGAAATCTCCAATGGCTGATGGGATATGCAGCCAAGCCCTTGGAACAGGTCAGACAAATACCATCTAGAAGTAGGCTAGCACCTTTGTCAAAAAAAAAAAAAATCTGTTTTCCTCTTGAAATATGTATGCTTTAGAGTCTGCTCATATTGCAAGCAAATATATATGTATATAAATAAGATTTTCTTATACTCTTCTTAGTGTTCATTTGTCAGAGAGTTTAGTTTTGGTATATTATTAAGTACAACAGGCTCAAACAACACATATTACAGCATAAAATTATTACATTCAAATAACTGAGGCTCAGGGTAATCAAGGGTGTTTTCCATCAAGTGTTATCTTGCTTTTGGGTAATGGAAAGTATTTGTATTTTTGGGCAACTGAAAACATGTCATTCAGAATATGAATAAACAGTTGTCAATTTTCTTCAGGAATGAAAGTTTCCATTTGGGTTAAGAATCTATTTCATCTTTTCAGTGGTAGTTTTTTTTTTCCATATTATTTGTTATTTTGAGTTACTAACAACTTTCTTTAGTATAGAACACTGTTTCCATTTAATTTTATTCTTGCTTTCAGAATTAGTATGTGAGATGAATTCTTGGAAACTGGGACAAGATGCATGTGAAAACAGTTGCTCAAAGCTCAGGTTTCAGAATCAAAATGCAGTTTACATACATTGTAATCCAGCTTTGTGGGTGGGTGACTGAGCAGTATCTTGCAGCAAACTTTCTTTAGTACAGCTAAATTTATAGTTTTGGGGTGAATCCATATTTTTTAGAGTTTGTGGCATTAAAAGTAATTATTTATGCTATTTCCATACTTGTCACATCACAGAACTAATCTGTAAAAAAGAAACTATAATGGTAGCCAACATCAGGACAGGTGACTTAAAGAGATTGTGGAGTCTTCCTACTTGCAGATAGTTGGATCCAGGCTGGAAATGATCCTGAAGAACATGAACCATCATTGGCACCAACTGAAAAACAAGCCTTGCTCTTAGCAAGTTGTAGGATAAAAGCTCCAGAAGTCCCATCCATTCTGTGATTATAAATGGTATTGAGAAGGTAGCCTTATTCACTGTCTAGTAACTAGGGAGAGACTGTAGATAAGTATGTTGCATTTGGTGACTTTCCAGAAGTTTTTCGTTTTCCAGAAATTTTTCGTTTTAAAAAAATAAAAAAGCTGGTGCTGGTTTTCTTCGTAAGAAACCAACATGAAGCCTGAAGCCTATATAAAATAAGCTAAGTCTAATCCAAAAGCCAAAATCACTGAAGCCATTTGCACAGCTCACAGGAATTTTGCTCAGTTGGAGATTGTGTCCTTATCATTTTATTTAACGAGCTAATGTAGAATAGTAACTGAATTTAATAAAATCTTTGTTTTGCAATATGATGTAATGCATGGAAAAATGGCTGGATGTCTAAATTATGTGCTGTCTTCCTATAAAAAAAATGATACCCTTTCATTACCCTTTCTTCCCGAAAACTGTGTCAGGAGTTGAGCAATACAAGCTCACTTTTGCAGGTTCAGTTTGCAGACAAAATGTTTAAAGAGAAGATAATGTTCTCATATGCTTTCAGAATCACTTTTAAGAAAAACAAGCAGAAGTTTGCATTTTTCTCCTTTGGCACAGTGAAAACATTAGCACAGAATAGTCAAGCAGCAGAATAAACCTGGTCTGCTTTTTTAAAGGAGGAGTGCTGAAGTTTTGGTTTCGTGCATGCATGCGTGTGTGTTTTAGCAACTTTCAGTTAGGTAAGACTTTTGAAGCATCTAGGAAAAATTGAATTATTTACTCACTTCTGCCCCGTAACTCTGTTATCCCTCAATGAGCCATAAAGGTACCTCTTAGTCCTACATGGTATAGAAATATTTCGTGTGACATAAGCTGGGACAACATTGCTGTCTCAGCTTATTGAGAGATGCGTTGAGTGAACTGTTAGCAGTAGCAGAAGAAAAGGACGAGCCAGGGAAGAAAACAATCGCTCTCTTTTTTTTTTTTTTCTTCCCAGTGGAGGCCTATTTTGATCATCTGAGGTGGCAATAAGTTGTGTAGCTCTCCTCAGATGCAGCTAACTAGGGTTCAGCATGTCTACTGAGCCAGTTAATTTCTTGATATTACACTTAATTATCATTGTATTGCTGGTAATTTATCACCATTAACATGTTAGTATCTGCTGCTTGGGAATGCTGCAGCTGTGCGATGAGAGACATCCCTTGGAAGCTCAGCCTCATACTCCTGCATGTGAGCTTAGGTGCTCAGGAAATGGGGAGGAGAAAATGAAAAGAAAAACAGCTCTTTAAATTGAAAAGAGTCTTGTAAGGTGAGCTGAGGGTTTGTCTTACCAGTTAGGAACAGGATTCAGGCTCATGGGACTCTCAGTGCTATTGCTTAGATTTATTTTTTAACAAATGGCAGAAAAGCTTTGATATTTGTATTGATTCATGGTAAGCTGAAAGGTTTTAATGCTTAGTCACTATAATGTGGTCTTTTCTTAGTTTCAGCACAAATACATTTGTCTAACTATATACAAAATTAAAATTCAGAACAATTAAAATGGTGTCATTAAATGTCCAAAGTGATTAATTACAGATTTTTTTTTTTAATTCACTGGAGTGATAGTGATTATCTGCCTTTGTACTTTTTAACAGAAACAAACATGAAATGTGTTAATATGCATTGCCATTTTTAATGTTACAATCTTAAAGAAATAATTTCCATCCAATCTTATTTCCAAGTCAATGAGTTAGTTCACAGAAGTGGATCAACTGGAGTGAAATACTTTTAGTCAAAACCTGGTAAAAAAGTATAATATATATATGCGTTTTCTATTTCAAAATATTGTTTTGGAAGACACCTTCCCAGCTGTGATTAACCAGAATTTTATTGTTATCTTTGAAAATACTAGACTTGTTTCTGACCTAAATATCTGATGTCCCAAAGACCATCATACCACTTCCTTCAAACCTACATTAGGCAGTGAACTAAAGCAATTATATCAGGAAGACCACAATTAGGACATCTATTAGAAATGCAAGAGCTACATAGCTTCACTGTCATAGGAAACAAAAAAAAAAATAATCTATTCTTATTAACAGAATGAGAGATGACTTACCATTTTATAGAGAAATTTCAGTTGTTAATGGCAAACTAATTTGTGGCCTATTTTAATATTCTTCACTGTGTGCTTTTGCTTTACAACTGTAAGAATGTTACCTTTTTATGACCAAAGTTGCCAGGTTTCTTAAGCCTAGAAGGCTGTTGGTTGAAAGTGTTAAACAGTGATGGCTTTAGTGTTTGCAACATTGCACTGCTTTTATAATAGTCATATGGTTGAATATAAGCACTCTATTATCACTTCTTTTGTTTTGATTTTCTTGTAGACATTTCAGCAGTCTTCTCTACAGCAGAAAAGTAAAAAGAAGAACAAAGGTAAAAATTAAAATTTTGATTATAGTTTTGATGTTATTGGTTGGAAGGGAATTGAAAGCATGAGTGTGTACATATGCCAATACTTCAGAACTATATTAGAACAACTAGAACTTGTTAGCTCCAATCAAAAGTATAGTTCAGTTGAACACATATTGACTTAATTGAACATCATATTGAGAAGCTGTTGTCTATTACCAATGTCTCATAATATCCCCTTACCTTACAAGCATGTAACTACTGATTTTTTTAAATTTTTTTAACATGTAGACTGTAGTATATTTTGGGGCCAGGGCTGTTTTTGCAGCTGTGTGAGGATAATGTGTCAGTGCAGCCATTGCTCATTACCTTATCTGTCTGGTAATTATATCTCAGTAAACTGTTTTCCTTTGATGTAGAAGTACAAAGGCCTTAGCAAATGTTTAGTTGCAAAAGGAGGTACAAAGAGAGATTTCTGAATATCCATCAAGTATTTACATAGTTTTATTTTACAAGACTATTAAACAATTAGTAGCTAGGTGTGAAATTACATGAATTTATATGTTGTGTGCTTTGATGTGACATGAGGTATTAATTTGTTGAAAATTATAAATAACCATTTTTCTTAACTTAAATATCTTGCCTTTCTTTCCTCTACATCATCTCTTTCTGTATTGCTTTTTCTCTTTTTGTCTCATCTATAGAATATGAGCTCTCTGGGTTGCTGAACCTGCTTTGTTTGGGTTTGCTTTGTTGTTTCTTGTGTGTTTTTTTGTTTGTTGTTTGTTTGTTTTGTTTGGTTTTGTTTGTTTGTTTGTTTTGTTTGTTTGTTTGTTTTTTAAGGTATCTTTGTGGCCCAAATGAAAGGTTTGTTGTAATTTAATGATGGAATATCGAAGTTGAAAATTTTAATTAATTTTCTGAACCAAGTATGTAGTGCTTTATGGCTACCTGGCTTGTTGATTTAGTGGACAAGCCAAACACTTTCACATCAACTCATTGTTATTTTCAGCTCCTATTCCTGGTAAAAGCAAAAGACGGATCTCTTGTAAAGATCTTGGCCGAGGAGACTGTGAAGGCTGGCTTTGGAAGAAGAAAGATGCCAAGAGTTATTTCTCCCAGAAATGGAAAAAATATTGGTTCGTCCTGAAAGATACATCTCTGTATTGGTATATCAATGAAGAGGTAAGCCTATATGCTCAATGCTTCATCAAATCCCCTGTGCAGTGCTATTGACATGGTTTTGTGGAAAGCCAGTGCTTTGAGTTCTTATATATGCAAAAAAAAGCTTTATTCACCCAAATAATTATACTGATATTAATTAAATTACCGTTAAAATCTAAGGAGATTTGGTCCTTCAAATTTATCTTTTACTACGAGGAGAAAAAGCATACTTTTCAGTGTCCTGCTCTCACCATTTTAGAATAAATCTATCCTCAGACCATTGAAAGGGAAAAGGTAGTTATTTAATCTTGTCATTCAAGCTTAGTCATGAGAGTATAAACTTTAATGATGTGCTGCCTAGTGTTCCTTGTTTATGTGTGCCAGTGAAATCATCAAAAGCTCTGGCAATTACAGATGCTTTTGTTTTTTCAGTTGTGTTCTCCTGTTGTTCCTTCTTTGTGTATTTGTTATGATTTCAGTGCTCATGTACATTGAACTTAGGATCTCCAGAGCAGCCCAACTGAATTGTGTACAGCTTTGATTGTACAACATGTTTTGCTTTGTACATGCTTATCTATATCAGCTTTAGTAGAAAAGTCTTTTGCCAGTCAGGTAGAAAACTTTAATTTTAAACCCTGCTAGTCTCATTAGTAAGTATCCTGAGATAAAATCATTGCCAACCTGTGAATGCACTTAGTCTTGGACTGCCCTACTTGTTATTTTAATCATTTGTTATTTTAATTTTGCTTTTGTGTAATTTTTTAAAGCATTTTGATCACAGACTTCTCCCTATGTAGATAGTAAGCAAGTTGTACCACAAGTTGCTACTGAAGCCTGTTTTCCCGCACACTCATTGCATTTGTGCCTTCATCCCAGCTTCAGATCAGTAACCCTAACTCCCTCCTCCTCATCTTCCCTCCTACAAGGTCTTCATCAGGGCAGAAATTCATAGCTACAAGAACATTGACTGACCAGTCTGAGGCCAATGGATCTAGGGAACCATTGAGTTGCATGCTGCTGTCCATTGGAGAAGGCAGTGGTTTAAGTTCCTCTGTCTTCCTCCTGCCTCAGGTTCCCTTGACTTTCTGGGACTGTTATTTTTGAAACTTCATCTACCTCACCAATGGATTTTTTTCTTTCCTTAGGCAACCATGCAAGAAAAAAGAAATAACAAATTTATTCTTTTTCCTTTTGTTTTTAAGTACCTGCGAACTCAGTAATTCTTACAACCTTGTACCTCCCACAGAACAACTCCAGTTCCGGTGTTATATGCTAATATGTGTCATTTATTTATTTTTTAGAAAGCAAATAGTCATATAGACTGCATATGTAACATATATTACTGTGAAGATTCTGAGAGCACAAGACGTAATTCTGCGGAACTCATTAAAATACAGTTGTGTTTTCTGCAGCTCCACTCTCATGATCTTGTATTAATTTCTTATGCAAAGTTATCAACAGTCAAATAAGAGAGTCTGTGGTATTGATGTATTAGTGGCATAAAATAATTCTCTCCAATTGTGAAGAGTTAAGAAAGATGGAGTATCTGATAAAATAAACTGTGTGCAAGTCTTGAAAGAGGAGGAAGGTCAGATTTCTTCTTTATGTGCTGGAGAGAGATAACAGTAGCTGAAGAGATGTCATATATCCTAGCTGTGATATTGAATAAAGATAGTAAACTGCACATATTTAAGTCACTTTTTCCCCCTATTTCTTACAGTACACTGCATTTCTGCTTACTAATTAGTCCATCCTCCCCTGAAATTAACTAATTACAGTAACTAATTGCCTGAATATGTTTGGTCATTTTGTGTATTTTCAAATGTTGGTTCAGCTGTGAAATTGTTTAAGAAAACCAAGTATTTAAAATTGTATTTTATACCAAGGGATCTGTCTTACTACTTTGGCAAAAGTCCCAGTGAAGTCTGTGGGAGGTTTGCCAGAGCAGAGCATACATTGGTATTGCTTATGTAAGAAGCAGGCAAGTGAAAATATCCTTAAGTTTTCAGTATGTATTTTTCTTTTCTGACACCTTAACAACAGTACTATTTAGAACTATCTTTGCAGGATGAAAAAGCAGAAGGATTCATCAGTCTACCTGAATTTAAAATTGACAGAGCTAGTGAATGCCGAAAGAAATAGTAAGTATGCTCAAAAGTAATGCAGTGATACAATAGGAACAATGATACAATAGAAAAAGTGGAACAAAGAACAAGGTTCTCCCTTTAAACAGTGACATAATGGACTTTGTTACAAAGATTATTTGGCTAGATCACAAAATGAAATCATACAGAACAGTCAAATACAGTATTTGTATTTGGGGTTGTAGGTTTTTGTCTGAAACCTTTAAGCTCAAGAAACCATCCACACACACACACAAAAAAAAAAAAAAAGTCTCCAGATTCATGTCTCCAGATTCATGTCCAAGCATCCATCTTTTTAAATTAGTTTGCATAATCTCACACTGTGCTGGCACAGTATGTCAGTCCCGAGGCAGAGTAAAACAAGAGAATGACAGTTATTTTCTCTTTCTGGGGTATGAACTAAAGCTTTAAAGTAACTTTTCTTCTCACCTAGCTGTATTTGCTGGTGTCTGGGTTTGCACCATTGCATGAACCCATTTTTGATTTAGATGCATGTTCAAGCATATGTAGTTATGTGATAGGTGCATTCTCACACAAATGTATTTTTAGAGTGAAAAACTTTTTAAGTTGCCTTCTAATGGTTCTTACTGTTATTTGACTGAAGTTTGTCGAGCCTGTAGAATTACTGAAAATTGTACAGAATACAGAAAAGCCATTGCAAAAGTAAAACAATATGACTTATAGTACACGCAGTTATAAAGAAGAGACTGACCTTGTATCAGTTGGTCTACATAGCTCTTCAGGATGATCTCTGATCTTCGTGATGATTTCATATGGCAGTAAATAAAATTGCCTTTAAAAAAAAAATGAAATATCAGCTTGTGTTTATTGTATTGTGCCCCATGTCCTTGGGCTATGTTGCTGAAATGCTTCATTTTTATGCTTTTTGGGGCAGCAACATAAACTCTACCTATTTCTCAGAACTGCACCCTGCTTGAATTGTTTTTTGTTTTTGTTTTTAACTTGGTAGTATTTGCTAGATGGTAGTATACAAAATGTGGTTGTTAACATTCCTTGGGTGGCAGATGAAGTGAAAAAAAAACCACTCTAAGAATTCAGATGACAAGTGCTGTAACAACTTTAAGCCAAATTTTGGGTCTCAGTAACCTGATGTGTTTCTAAATTGAGCAGAGGTCACTGCTTATCTGCTTTCACTTCTATAACATTCTGTAATGGTCTATAGTGTAGGAGTCCTTTTTGCCTCGTTTTTAGATGCTACTTTCACTAATACTACCTTTTGTGGATTTCAATTTCACATACCTGGTTTATATATATATACACATATATATGTACATACACATACAAACATATATTAAAAACTGCAAGCATGATACATGAAGAACATCATTACCATTTTCCTAAAAACAACAACAACAATGGTCTAGAAAGGGAATTATTATATATATGATATATACATATATATAATCCATTGTAGTTCAGAAAAATGATACTGTTGCTTTTCATATACCATGCTTTCAGTTTTCCTTATTTTCTTCAGGACTGTTAGGCATTTTTTTCATTTTCTTATTTTAAGGGAGACCATCAGGGTATTCACAAAAATGATTCTTCTGTACTGTAAATTATTAATTACTTTCTGATGCATTTTCTAGATCTTCAAGAACTTCACCATAAATCTTTATCCAACATAGTTACAAAATTCTTTCAAGTAATTTATTTCATATTATGTATGAAATGCAGTAATTCTCTCAGCCTAGTCATGTTGATTAGTTTGGTGGAAAGAAAAGATGAGATGTAATTGCCCGTTGCTTAGAATGACCTCAAGAACACGTTGTTGATTTATAACAGCTTTTCAAAAGTCAATCAGTGCATCACATTTTTCTGTTTGAAATGCAGTCATTAGAGCTAAAGGTAATGTCAAGGTCATTAGGATGTCAGAAATCACCAGGACTTAGAGTTTTTCTGTTGTGTTAAATAAATTGTTTGGTCAATTTTCTGTTCAGAAAAAATTGGACACCTACAGTATATCTGTAAAATTGCCTAGTAAATAAAACTGTATCCTTAACTGGTTAACTTTGTCCAAATGTACTACGCTGTAGGTATACAATCTACTTATACACATATGATTCAAGTGTTGTTTAGAAAGGGGTACTTCAGTCAGTGAAAACTGGAACAATCCTAAATGTTAGAATCAAAGAATTATAGAATATTCTGTGTTAGAAGGGATCCACAAGGATCAAGGATGTTATATTTGTATAACATGTTGGGGGGCTTCTACCAAATCAGGAAATCTGAACTCATTGCTTGGTGACCGTGCTAACTTATAAAAAAAAAAATGTTGTACCATTACTTTTTTTATAATTATTTTTTTCCTCTACAGTGCATTCAAAGCCTGCCATCCTAAGATCAAAAGTTTTTATTTTGCTGCTGAACATCTAGATGATATGAACAGGTAAGAAAGTCAAGCAAAAGTCAAGGAATCATTCCTTAAACATGGCACTTCCTTGAAGTTAGTGATAATAAATTACATGTTTATTGCATGTTAATTGCAGAGTAGCATTTTTTTTGTCTGCATATGCTAAATATTCTATTCATGAAAAAAAACAGTTTTTTTGAAAATAAGATTTGAAGATTTTTAGAAACAAGATTCTATCTTTCTACTAAGAAGCAAAAAACAGTTTTTGAAAATAACCCATAAACACAATTTCAGAATTCAAGGTTTCTGTAAAGCTGTTCTTAGCTGTGTGACACCTGAAAACATGCAACATCTCCAACTCTGCTTCCTAGCATCCCTCCGTGGACATGTGATGCTTGCTCTGGGAACACTTCTATTTCTGGCTCTTGAAGGAGTGATAAGTTGGAAAAGGATTTATAACAGTAACTGATTATTCTTTTGCCAAACTTGATAAAGGAGATTACAAGCAATTTGTTGTGCAGATTCTCTCCACCAACGTGAATTTAACCTACACGTTGACGTGAACTTTTGACTTTAAGGAAGTTAGTGGGGATAATCTCAGCAACTTGAAAAGAGTGAGGGTTTAAGTCTCAGCTCTTAGTGTGTTGAGCTTAACTGTACCTATAGTAAGCCAATTTTTCAGAAAAACTATTAAGATTTCAGCATAAAATAAACACAATTACACTTATTTCATGTAAAAGACAAATTAAAATCATGGATCCAATGCCTATTCAAATATTTGGAGGATCATTTCATTTATTTTCACAACATAAATTAAAACTAATTCAGTTCAAAATAATATGTAATTTTCATCATACGATAGGACAAAAACAAAAATCTATGATTGTAACCTGATAATTGTTCTGACTTACATAATGTCTGTGGACATGGTAGCTGAGTAAAATTGCTTTTAAAACAGGAGAAAAAGGTGATAAAACTCAACTCATAAAACTCATTAGTTAGTGCTATGGTCATGGTTTAATCTCTCCTGTGTGTACTAGATTCAGGTACCTGGCCAATCAGCTTCAGGGTACTGCCAGTTCTTTACTGATAATGTTTGACTGAAAAAGTATACTAGTACTATTCTGTGTTTGCTTTTATTTAGAAATAGCTGTCTGGTAACATTTTCAAAGGTTCATGCATGACTGAAACTCATTTCAAAAGTCTCTCATCATTTAGAAAACTTAAAACCTTTTTATTTGTTTGTAAAATTTTAGGCTTGCCTTTACTAGATAACTCTGTCAAGCCAGTCACTCAAACAGCACAGCAAACAGAATAATGGCACGGTCTATTCAGCATGTCCCAAACTACAGCAGCAGATAAATCATTTCTGTCAGTAAGTCCTCAGTCAGTATGACAAGGTGACTTGTTTCTGAGGATAAAAATTTATATAACTCTTCAGTAATCAGAAATCAGCAGGAAATGTGCATCAATATGTTAAAAATATATTGCACATCTAAAACTAACGTAAGATCTAGAAGGTTATAACTATGCAGCATGAATCGCTTTTTTATCATATTTTGAAATACCTGCTTATCAGTTTTTTCAAAAGGAGATAGACCAAATATTGATCTGAATTATGCAGATGTAAATTTAAAATAACTCCATCGATGTCTATGGAATTTCTTGAAATTCTTATGTCTGAATCACAGTCTCACCATATATTTTTATTTGATCCACTTTGTTTAATATATGATATAAAGTAGTTCACCTTCACAAGGTTAATATACAAATTAACTCTATATTGAACAAAAACGTGTTACTGAAAAACTAATCTATCAAATGCAGAGGTAATAAATACAATACTTCCTACCTAAAAGCATGTCCTAGCCTAACCAAAGTGAAACAGAATCAATATATTAAAAGTTAAATTAAAACTGTTTTGATCAATTTATGTTCTTCATTAGCTTTCACAGGTATATTTTTGTCAGGTGTAATGCAGTCACTGCAGTTCTATTATATGTGAGGCACAAGAAATAAAGGAAATTAGAAAACTGCTCAAGCAGTCTAACAAAGTTAGAATTGGTTGCATTCCTTCATCCCTTGAATAAAATAACTTAGTAAAAAATAAATAAATTTTTAAAAAGTATATACAGGACATGAAGTTTTATTTGGGGATGAAGGTTTTTTTGGGGTATGGGTATGTGTATACTCACATAAAACGTGTTTTAGTTTTAGGTAACTTTGTTCCTATTCAATTTTTCCTACTACTTTTGTGACTGAGCCACACTGCTATGTTGGTAGAAGCTGGGAGAGCTCCAATCACTGAACTTTATTGTTGTGGCATCTGAAGTCCCTCTCCTTTGCATGATTACACCAGCACAAGGATTCTTTCTACCCGTACAACACATTTACTTTGGGTGAAAAGAAGGATGGAATATCCTTCATTGATGCAAAGTACGGTTTTGATAATATAGGTTTATATTCATAGAAATACCTTGTTTTGAAATTTCTTGTTATTCCTATTCCAAGAAAATATTATGATGTACAAGGCAGTCCACATATTTCTACGTAATGGTGCTATGTGTAACTTTATTTTGATTGTTAACTGTACCTGCTACTTTATAGACTAAATATCTGTTTTTTCCTCAAAGATGCCAATCATCAGTTCAAAGGCAAATGCAGCCTTTTCAATGTTGGCTGGTTTAAATACTTTGCAAACTCTTATTGATCCTTTTTATTCCGAATACGGTAAGCTATATAATCTATGCAGGAAAATGCAGTCTGTAGCTTCACATAGAATGATTGTCTGAGAAATTCCTTGAACCTATTGTAACCGAACTGTCCTCTGTATCTTGTTGTGTACAGGCAAAGTATTGAAATTTATAATTTCTTCCTCAATGTAGCTCTATAGTTAAGAGTAAAGATGACAAATCAGCTTGTATTATTAGCATGTGAGAATGTGTCTGGAAGATTTCAGTAAAGATGGCCTATAAAATATTTCCAGCATCGTCTACAGGCCTCTTCATTCTGATTAAACTGCAGCAGTTTACTTATAGACACTATATGGTATCCATACTCCATTGCTATATAGCGGGTTCATCCTAATCCTTGAGCTTTATGGTTAAGGACAATTAGACACCCTGCTTTGACTAAAAGCTTTGCACCTACCTGGAGTCTGAGATAAGATAGAAAAAATGTTTCCTACTCTTCTGTTTGAGTGCCAGTACTGTGCATTCTTCTTTATAGGAGTTCTAAGTATATAGAAAGATATATATATATATTTAATTTGGTTCTGAGTGAGTCATAAAATTGTTTTAATTACATACTGACAAGAAATGTGTATGCTATTCTTGAAAAGAAAAAGAAAACAAAAGCAAAACCTAGATGACTGCTGCAAGTACCAGTGTTACTTATTGTAACTATTATTGTCATAGCTAACAATAGGATAATTCTCACAAGAAAACTAAAGCTGCATTTGCAGTAAGGAAGGAATATTTTCTTGGCCTTTTGCCCTCTAAAAATTACAGCACACCACAGGTTTAAATCTTCCCATATACAAGGGCTTTGCAGATTACTTTTAAGTAGGTTTTAATATTCATAGTAAAGAGTTCTTGTATAACTGTACACTTGATACTTCTGTCCCTTATGTTGTGTAAAGCAGGAATGTTTTATTCTTCCTCCACTCTTCTAAAGATCATTGCATTTCCCTGTGATATAACCCCAGTGTGATGGATTTCTCATACTCTAGTCTGAATGAACCTAACTCTAGCCATGATTTATTAAAATAATACTAATTGTCTAACCACAGATGTCTAGCCATATCTAATGAAGCTTTAGTGGCCATATACCAGAAAATATGCAGAAGTCAATACCATTCTTTTCATTTCTGAACTAGAAAACCACTCAAAAGACATAGTTATTAACTGTTTACAACCAGATCAGTGCCTTGTCACTCATCCCAGAGGCACTTGTTCCAAACCATGACGTAAATCATGAACTACAGAAAATCATTAAATGTGAAGTCAGTCTGTTGTCTCTCTTTTAGACTGGTATACAGTTCCTGGGTTATTGTTAGATTATACTTTTCAGGATTTTTTTTTTTTCTGGAATAATCTACTATAGCTGTAACCACTGTCACTTAACTCTTTGGTAATTTATTTGGTTACCTCACTCTCAGGCATACAAAATACTATCTCATGTTTAGGATGGAATGAAATTTCCCAAATGGAGAACTCTTATAGCTGTATAATTTAATATTTTGTGGTGAACAGGCCTATTCAAAGGGATACAGTAGGCAGTTGTTTTATGTCGACTGCACTGGGTGGTGTTAAGCCCTGAGCTGATCTGGGAATGTGAGATCCAAACTGGGTGAGAGGCCAGTGAAGCCCACCTCTGCTGTATGCCACACCATGCGACAGAGCAGGTGCTTGCCTGATTGTGCTCTTTGCCCTCTGTACATGGACAGGTCTGTGGCCTTTGCTCATCACAGGGCATCACAGGCCTGGAGTAGTGTGGGTGAGGTTCCCACATCAATACCTCTGATTTGGGCTGGCAGAACTGTCGAGATGGGTGAGCTTCACCCCCTAAAGAAAGACTTCACATATCAGAAATGTGAACTTAAAAGAGAGTTTTGGAGAGGGATGACTTTTTTCTTCTGTGAAGATATGCAATAGTTGTCTGAAGCATGATTTGTTGGATTTCTGTCTCTGTGTGCCAGTGATTTTTTAAAGTGTATGGCACTTTCTAACAATTACAGAAGAAATTTTAAGTCTTTTCTTCAGCTCCCCTATTCTTCTGGCAGAAACTTTGATTGTAAATTAATATGCAGTACACTGTAATCACTTCAGTAGATCCCTAGCATCCTTCCCAATGTACAATGACTTATAGACCATTAATGTAATTTACAGATAACATGTGATCAGTTTGTGTAGGGGCAGCAGCAGAAGTTTATTTCAAGGAGAGCAACTGTATTTTATGATCTAATGTCTGTTTATCTTGAACTGAAGTGTCTTAAAGGTTGGCATCCAGGACTGATTGCAAAGGTCTCACCAAAGATCTCTCTTGCTGATGAAATATTACATGCTGTTTCCATATTGCAATATGCAAATAACAGCCATCAGGCCAGTTTTCTGAAACAGGAGATTCACATTTCTGAAGGCAATGCAGAACTGACTCCAGCTGACCTTCCATATGCACTAGCAGTAAAATTGCAAGCCGCTGACTGGCTTGGCAAACCAGGTACGTCATCCTGTAGTCAGGATGACGTGTGTAAGGAATTCCAGGTTTAACATGGAATGGACTACCATAGGAGGTTGTCATGGTCATTTAAAGCATCATTAATGGAAGAACTGATTTAGTCTGTTTGGATAATGAATACACTGAGAGCCCTTTGGGGGAAGAGGGCAGGCTGAATTAGAGCATTGCTACAGGCAGTCAAGTGTATGCTTTTCAATGACAGTCCTGCTAGAAGAGAATAGCAATAGTTTATTTTCAATTCATGTAGCTTATGGAAGCATTTTTTCAAGTCTAAGTTGAGGTGAAAGCCTTAGGTATGAATTGCATTGAGGCAACTGTCTTTTCTCCCTCTGCTTCCCTGACACAAACACAAAGGCGAATTCTGATATGCCGCCTCCTCTTTGTATTTGGCAATGTAGGTAAGCCCTAAAACACATAATGGCATAATTAAGCCTCACTGTCTGTTTAGGAGTAAACCTGTTTTTTTTGACTGGTGGTTTCTGCTCTGTTCCTCTACTAAGTTGCCAAATCAGGTCTTAAAATATTTCTTAAATCTCTGAAAAGTGGTGTTTATTCTCAAGAAATCAGAACAGCAGGAGTATCGGTGTGATGGCATATCTATGAACAGCAGACTTAATAGCCCTTTGATTATCTCCAAATCCTTTATTTTACAGATGTTTGACATCATACATGATTTTCCATTTGAAACAAGATCTTTGCTGTGAAAACAATTTGTTCAACAGCAAAATTATAGATCTTTGGAGGCTCCCAGAGTATCAAAAAAAAGCAGCTGTTTAATATGAAAAATAACATTGTCTTGAATCTGTCAGATGCTCATACCTTTGTTGTTCTGTAGAAGTACACTAAAAATTAACATGCTGTATTGGTATCACTGCTTTTTTAATATTATTTCAGATGGCTAAACAGAATTAACATGCTTGCTGCTGGCTATGCAGAAAGGGAGAGGATCAAACAAGAGCAAGGTAATATTATTTTAGTTTCTTCTGTCAGTTCCTATAACAAGTTCATCTGTTCTTTTTTTTCCCAGCTGTGTATCAGGCCTCATTCTCATCATCTGACAGCAATTCGCATATAAGCATCCCTGTTGTTGCTTTAGAGAATTGCTTCTTTCTTAGGGGTTTTTGATTAGTTTCTTCAGACTCTGGTCCACATACCCTTGGATTATTTCTGAGAAAGCCACAGAAGGTAGCTAAAAGCAGCACATTTTCTGTCAGTAATCTCAGGTATGTAGTACTAAGGAGTCTGTGTTCTCCATTAAAATAAGCTTAAGAATCTGCAAACTAAAAAATAATTTAAAATATTACATTTGGTGTTTTAATTCACAGGGAGGAGGAATGCATGAAATAGGTCTCAGGAACAAAACCATTCCTCTAAAGCCTGCTGACATAACTGGATTCTTAAAAACCTAAAAAAAAATTAAAAACTTTAAAACTATAATTTTAAGGACATTTAATGTTTTATAATTTCTGCTGGTTTTCCTGTTTTGAGGTGTGTACTTGAGCCTTGTTGGCTGTTTCAGTGATGAAGCCTTTCATTTGGAGTCATAGGTTTACATCATTTTACGAATATTTTTTATGTCTGGTATTTTCTACATTTATAAAAGCAGTCACACATAAAACAATGAGTCACTTTGCTTTGGTTTGCTGCAGTAGAAATTCTGTTTGCAGATAAGAAAAAGAAAGGGTCAGTCGTCCATTGCGTTGGGCAGATTGTTCCCTCAAATTGCCAGTGACATGGAAGTGTTCCTATCCAACTGACTACTCTGGCAAGCAGCTGGCTCGTGAATCCATACTATATTTTACAAATGTACCTGGCAGCAAATACCAGAAAATTTCAGTGGTCATGATGATCCAGAGTTTATCCAGATGACTGTCTACCTGCTGCCTGCTGAGTCAGAACATCACTTTATAATTTTGTGGCTTCTCCCCCTTCATCAGTGAAGTTCTGACTTCTGTCTCAAAAAGCTTACAGCTCAGAGCTGCAGCAGCAATGTATTGCATGTAATTTTTTAGTTATGAAAACTGTACTTCTAGCCATTTTTCAGGGAGAGTTTGTATTCAAAAGACTATCACTAGGCTTCAAAATTAGCCACGTAGTGTCCTCCACACCACTCAAAGTCCTGGTTCTGTACCAACCTATGTGACAGCAGCCTTAGTTATGTCCATCTGGTCAGATATTGCGAAGAAGAAGATGTTTGCGGTCTGTGTCTGCAATGCATTTCTGTGGTGTGTTGCCCCTTTCCTGGGAGACATTGCAAAAAAAATCCTTTCCCTGATGAGAAGCAAACGTAGCTTTGGCAGCCAGGTGGAAACATTGTGAGAGTACAATATTCTATAAGGGCTGAAGACTAACAGACAGCATCATAAAATGATGTCTGCATTGATTCATACCCTGACTGTCTCACCACAGAGCACCCTAGAGAGATCAGCCTGCTGTTGAAGAGCACTGGCTAACAGCATACAGCTGTAATTTGATGGTAATAGCATGGGTGGGAAGGTTTGTGGGTGTTCTGTCTTTCTCTAGATAACTAGGTTGTATCTGCTATTGCCTCATTTCTAATTTTACCTTCCAGTAAGTGCAGCTGCTTATCCCGGTTGCATTGCCCACCTGGCTTCATCCCATATGGTCCTTGCACATCATGTCATTCATAGTACTAGGCCCTCTTCATTCACACAGTCCATTCACACCATGATCTCTGTTCCTCCAGGCAAGTTCTCAATGCTTCACCAAACTTCAAAATCAGTTTGGGAGTCTGTATTTCCCAGGCTATATTGCAGTAGCCAGGTTGGAGGGACCTGTATACCATCCATCACTACCTGAAGAGGCTGTAAACAAGTTCTTAGTCTTGGAGTCTTCAGGGAAATCCTCCATGTTAGCATCCAAAGCCAAATTGAGGCCATGTTAGCATCCAAAGCCAAATTGAAGCATTTATTGACAGCAGGTTGGCACTGGAATTATAATAACGTGGGATGGTAAAGGAAAAGGTGTAAGAACTGTTATGCTAACACTGTACGTACAAGTGCACAATTGCAGACATGATGCACCTTTATAAATCCAGATAGATTTGGAAAAAATATTTTTCCTACCAAGCAATCACTGAATAATAAAATAGTAGATGATCCTGTTCTTAGACATGAGATCATGTGCATTCAGGCCTCCTGTTGCCTATTATTAAAATGGCTCCCTGTTGAAGATCATCAGTGAGACCCCACTTACCACTGAAATTATATCCAAGGCACTAAGGGAGCTCTTTATTACCACCCTAATGCCGTTTACTCAAATTGATTTATCATATGGAGGTAGGGAGAGCTATATCCACTGTGTTGCATATATGTGTTCAGTGAGGGTATCACATTCCCCACTCGCTGCAGTACAGTGTTTTTATGCCTCTGGTGATTACCCTTGGCTCCCAGCACAAGGGCTGTTAAACAGATGAGTAGTGCCCCTAATTAGCAGAGGCATTAAGTTAGCAAAGTAAAACCTCTCCATCACTTCAAGCATTTTTGATATTATAAAAATTGTGAAGCTGAAATTTTCTATATTCACTTACCGTACCAATTGTCATCTACATATTTGATTTTACAAAAGGTCTTTTATTTCTGTTCAGTTCATCCCCTTGCAGGAAAGCTTTATAATACCTCTGAAACAATTCAACACTAGTTGTCAAACCTGTTTCAATTAAGAGCTGAACGGTTCTGAATCTAAAGTGCATAAACATATTTCAAGTGCTTCAGAGATGCACGAATCACCAAACTGTGGGTGTATTGCTGAAGAAAATGTCACATTCTGTACAGAACAGTTTTATAAAAATACCATCAACTTTCCATATTAAATACAATGAATGCTAGCAATACGGCAAGGGACTTTCTTCGATGGAGATATTATATACCTTCCAGTCGTAGAAAATCACAGAAAAAAAAATACTTGCTTATCTAAATAGAAAACATTTAACTGGCAAATGGCTGGCCAGTGTTAGCTTATATATAATAGATGCAGTCTCTTGCTCATTCAGAAAGCTTTCAACATATGCCTGCTGCTTTGAGCTCATCTGGAACTGAATTGGACAAAATCTGCAGAGAGAAATATGGCAACTGTTCGATAGCATCACACACATTTTGGATAGATTATAATGTCTCAGTAGCCAAAAGCAGAACATTTTTAAAAACTGATGGGAGGCTGTTTTCATTCATTTCACCTGAAAGTTGACCCCTGGAACTGCAGAATTTTTTTAGACAAACACAGTAGGTTGCCAACAGAATTTCCTATCTGAGGTAAGGTGCACAAAAGCATAATCATATAGTGTTTTATTGTATGTGGATTTGACAGGAAGAACTTTTTTGTATTTCTAGCCAAGATCAAAACCTGCACCGAGAATGATAGATTTAATTCCAGAATAAATAGTTGAGCTCTAAGCCTACAAAAATCACAGTGAGTGATACAGTTCTGACAGGTTTCTCACCAGAAGTAGCTCCATTAGGCTTTGCTACAAAATAGGAACAAACATACTTATATGCCAATATTTTCAGGTTTTTTGAGCTGCCGGAAACAAATTTTCTCAAACTGAGAATGACTTAAATGACAGTTTTCTCTTATTTAGTATTTTACTCAACAAAATTAAATTACTTGGAGATTTCCAGAGACACTGTTTGGATTTTTTTATTCCATCATCATGAAAATAAAAATATATTTATGCTATTTATTTATTACACTGTTTTAGGAGAACCTTTCAGCTCAAAGCTTGCAGGAAGCAATTTAAGAGACCGAAAGAGTTATTATTGCTTGTAAAAAATAAACAGATAAATATGGCTGCCTGTCCCCAACTACCACAGTTTGGGAAAATACAGAATTTTAGGGTAGACTATTCCAAGACACTGTCATCTTAAGATTAGTAATTTTTGTTTTATATATTGAATAATACTGAATGAATATTGAATAACAGTAGATTTTTAATTGTGAAATACAATAACCATAATGGTAACAAAAATCATTAAAGCCAAATTATATACTGTACAAACCTGGAAAATTTCAACCTCTTTGTTATTTAGATAGTTTATGAAGCAACAATTAATCTTTGTCTCCTCGTCTATTAAAGACAGAATAGTAAATCACCCAGTTCATTGAACACGAACTTCACGTGGAGATTGCCTGTGGTTAGTCTGTGAATGGTATGAACTACACTTGTGCAGTTGTACAGTGGCTTACCCAAATACCAGAAGGTAATACAGTCAGAAACAAAGTGACAACATAAATGTTTGCATCAGTCTTACAATATATAGAAATATTAAGGTTGTCTATCTGGAGCTGGGTCAGCAGTTAAGTTGTTTTCTTTTGAAAGGAATATTAAGGTCTGGTATCTATTTAATTGCATGCTGTTGTGCTTCAAAAATACTTGCACCGGAATAAATGGGAAATACCATGTGATACATTCATCCAAGTGTTTTCCCCTTTGATCAAACTACCATAAATACGAAATGGGCATGGCTAAGACTTGATATCATGACAAAATAAGACCTCGTGTCCCATGAAATTTACACCACAGGCCCTGTGTCCTTTGTACTTTCTCTTATCCACCTTTTGGAATTCTATGCTTAAATATAACTGTCGTCTTCTTCCTTAGCAAATCACCTTTAGCAAATCACCTTTTTCATTCTTGGGTAACAGGACAGCAAGCAACTGTTTTATAAAGAAGACGTGATTTAAATTTTTCTGCCTTATCTTAAGTACATCTGTTTGTTATTAGAAATGTAATTGAAAAGTTTGGGTAACTAGTAGGATAAAATGGAGAAAAAAGGTAGAAAATAACTTTGATTATTCACATGTGCAATAACCACTACGCATTTGATATGCCAGTTGGTGTTGGTTACATTACATTACAAGTTACATTTTTCATCATTTCTGTTCAAAAAAATAAAAAATACTTTCAGTAATTTCCAGCCAATATACAATCATAATTATTTTGATGATTTTCTAAAAATTTGAAAATATGATCATTATTGCATTGAGTACTATCTATGCATGTAGTATTTATAAGGTGTGTACAAGAATTAAACGTGTGGGGTTGTTTAATATCTTTGCAGTTATGTTTAATATACCTCATAATGTTGTTTTTTTGTTTGTTTGTTTGTTTGTTTGTTTCCCTCTTTACACTAAAACATTTCCAAATTACAGAAGCTATCATTTAGATTGCCAGCATTCAACTCATATATAACTTCCAGAATTTGCTAGGATGGAATTTCTACTTGCTGTTGTGAAAACAAGTCTCTGTTATACAAACATATCAAAATATGTTGAAAGTTTTTGATCTGATATGTATGTAATTTGTAGATTACTGGAGTGAGAGCGATAAGGAGGAAGCTGACACTCCATCGACACCCAAGCAAGACAGCCCCCCACCCCCGTACGACACATACCCACGGCCTCCTTCGGTAAGTCACCTGCCTAATCAGGAATGACTACATAAAGTGACTTTTCTGTTTAGAAGTGACTCTTCTGTTTAGAAGCACGTGCATGCACGTATTAGGGCAATCTTCAGTATATTTTTGGAGCCAGTACTTGACTTAAGGTATTTTTAAAGTATGAGCTTAAAATATGAGCATGTAAAACATACATGTACATGAGTATGTTTTAGCTTCAACAACCATCATTGCTATTTCCACTGGTGTGTAGAGAATACATTTATAATCCCACTCATGTACAGAAAGGGATTAAGTTACAGAATTCCTTTTTCCTCTTCTTAATTCATGATAGATCCCTACTCAGCCATGCAATCCCTCACCTCCCCCTTATCTTCGTCTTTGACAAAATGTAATACTTCAGTAACAACAGAGATTCTTTAAGGTACAACAGGTTTGCTGTAAAGATTTACTGTAACAAATTACACTTGAATTTCCAGAGAAATTCCAACATGAAAATGTTCTTTTATATAGCCAACAGTGATATTGGTTGTTCTATTGTCTGTGAAAAAGTAGGCTTATCTATAAATTATAACAAAAGGAGATTGTTTTTTATTTTATTTAAGCAGTTATTGGTGTAAAACTAGTAGACAGTCTTCACATTTATTCTTCACAGGGAATTTTAATTTTCATGTCTATACATGCAGACAATGTTAACTAAAGCATCTTACTTGAATATATTTTTAAAAATGCAAAATTTTTGGTTGAGAAATTGGGAGTCTGGGGAAAGACAGTATTCTTGAGGTTTAATCTGAATGCAATACTTTATTTTCTAAAACCATAAACCTTTGAAACATACTGAAGCTCTGCCAACATGATTCCAAAGGAATTATTAGCAAGATAAGATGACAGTAGGCATTTGGATGGTGTTTTTAAGGTAGTATTAATGGACTAGGTATATCTCTCCTATGTCTTTCACAGAGCCATATTCTACAAAGTTTTCTGCAAATAATTGCATTGGCTTCTTTTATTGATTAAGGAACATTTTGTAGGAATAAGTATTAGGATTAACTATTAGTAGCAGTGTGGGAATAAGTTTGTTGCCTTCAGTAACAATGAAAAGTATGTGGTCATTACTAGCACTATGTCTTGGTCTACACTGATCTGAAGGTTGCTCCATTGCTGACCTTCCAGATGAGTTGCGCAAGCCCTTACGTGGAGCCCAAGCACAGCCGACTGTCCTCCACGGAGACCTCCCAGTCGCAGTCGTCGCACGAGGAGTTCCGCCCGGAGGCGGCGGGGAGCGCCACCGACTCGCCGGTGCGCAAGACGGCGAGCCAGCGGCGCTCCTGGCAGGACCTCATAGAGACGCCGCTGACGAGCTCAGGACTCCACTACCTGCAGACGCTGCCACTGGAGGACTCGGTGTTCTCCGAGGCTGCCGTGGTCTCCCCCGAGCACCGGCGGCAATCCACCTTGCCCACCCAGAAGTGCCACCTGCAAGACCACTACGGCCCCTTCCCGCTCGTGGAGGGTGAGCGGATGCAAGTGCTGAATGGCAACGGGGGAAAGCCCCGAAGTTTCACGCTGCCTCGGGATAGCGGCTTCAACCACTGCTGCCAGAGCCTTTCAGTTGGTGCTGCTGATCACCAAGAAGAAGCGCAGCAGAAGGAGGTGGAGGAGGAGGAGGAGGAGGAAGAGGAGGGCAAAGCAGCAGAAGAAAACCAGGAAGATAAAAGTAAGTATGGGATATTTCTGTGGCTTTTCAACAGTCCTGTTCGTGTGATGTAGAAGTTGTCTTTTCCTTTCAACTATTAATAAAATTAAAAAAGAACAGTCTTCCAACATCCCCCGTATTTCACCAGGTCCTCTGTTTCACACCTCTTTAATCAGCCTTATGTATTAAGGCCTAGTAAGCTGCCAGAGTGCTGCATGATCTGTCATGATCACCAGACACTTCCCCATTGGCTGGTCACCAGCTTTGTCCTACTAGTAATTCCTAGTTCTAAGTTGATTTTTCTTCCATGCTTTCTTCCCACTTTTACTTGCACAGTATTGTCCCCCACTGACATGTGTACGTGTCAGGACATACTCAGTAAAGTTTCCAGCCAGCCCCCGTCTGGATTTTAGAAACACTCAGTAAATCCTGGAGTGCAGGGTCTGGCTGTCATTGTATAATATCTAGGCAGACAGGTCACAGGACAGCCCAGAACCTGAAAGAAGTTGAAAAAGAGAGTGTGTTTTCCCCTGTTCCTTACCTTGTGATTTGTAGTGACAGAAGTTCAAAAAATATTTCAAAACAAATTATAAAAATATTAGAAAACAACTATGTGACCAGCAGGGTTTAAAATACAACATAACCCTGTGTAACTGTCTCTTACGTAGCACAGTAACTCCATAGATATTAGTGCTACTTGTCAAAGGTAATCCAAATAAACAGGGTATGAGGATGGTCCCTGCTCCTCTTGAACATGTAAAAACATTTCTGTGTCTGTTTCATGCTCTGTCTTTCACTGTCATTTATGGAGCTTCTCAGCATGTGTTGCTAGCAAAGTTCAGTTCATGCCCAAGTTGTTGGGTCTGTCAACAAAGCCTGCATCCATGAACTGTGGGGTTATGCTATGATTAAGCTGCCTGGAGTGGCAAGGAAGGCAGGATGGTCCTGAAGCTCTCAAAGGGTTTGTGCTATTTGGTTCCTTCAAAATCTTTTTTTTTCTTTTCACTACAGTAAAGAAGTATAAAAATGGTAGAGAGATAGGAGAGGGTAGTGAAAGCTTTGGATAATTAACTATCTGCATAAGTTAATTCTTTAAATTAGTACATTTGTTGAGCATTATAATTCATATGGACGTTACTTAGTCTACATGGGAGAGATCAAGAGTTTTCCATTTTCCTTATGCTTTTGTCAATAGGTTCTAGACTTCTCAAATTCTTGCCTTTGATAAAACAGTGATTTCCTTTGCAGATATTAAATCTGATGCCATTAAAAGCAGAAAAGGCATGATTTGAGTTGCATTCATGCATGGCTCTTGCCAAAAAGCTCATACATTCATTAGGGTAATATTAGACTCTTACTGACTGTGAAATGAAGCTCTTTAATTAACAGGGTTAAGTTTCATCAGCTGGGCAGAATGTGTTATCCTATTTTTAGCCTTCAATTTTGATTTTCAAATGGGTTTTTACTGATAGCTATAAAACAATATAAAAAAAATGCCCTCAGTAACTGGAGCAAAAGTAGCAAGGAGACTTCCCAGTGGAGTATCTGGGCTGTTTGGGATCCTACACACAGGGATCCTGCTGGAGGGCTTAAGATGCTAGTTGTTTTAAACAACACTTTTAAGGCCTTTAGAGGTCGTGGTAACACTTTATGGTGTACAATCCAAATTAAGGGCTATTGCTTGGACTAACAAGCCAGAACTTGGGCTCTTCTCTGCCTTTACCTACCATTTTGCAAAAAGGGAGAAAAACGTTTAATTTTCAAGTGGTCTGCCTTTATACACATACTTTTATTATTCTTTAGGTGAGGAGGTTTTCTTGCTTGAAGCATTAATAAGAGATTGTTTTTGAGACATTAATGACCAGCTAGACACGTAAAGTGTTCATGGTGAATTATTGACCATGAAATTATAAAAACAGAAAGAAAATTCTGTTTAATCTGTTGAAAAGTTTAAGTGCTGAATTGCTTGTTGCTATGGCTACAATGTTCTGTTTGCAACACTGGCTTTTTCCAGCTTGGTTACCAGTAAAAAAAAAAAAGGCAGAACGGATTGTGTGCAAGGGGTGTTCTCAGTTGCAAAATCCCAACTTCTGAGCAGAGAGGAATGAGAATTGCTTGTAACCCTGCTGTCAGGATGGGTGCCTGTGTGTGTGTGCTACCTCATTGCCTCTGCAGCTCCGTTGATCTGGGAACGTAAAAGCTTGCAGCTGGAGGGAGAGGTGGGATCTTCCCCCTTTGAGAGAGGTTTTAACTTCTCCTTGAGCCTCCCCTGCAGTGGTATCAGATGAACCATCTAAATGCATTTATCTGCCTCTTACACATTTGTGATGCTGACATAGTTCTATACTCTTAGATGATTCTATGTGTTCCCGTGTGTACATGTACATGTATGTGTTTCAAAGCTTGATCATTTCTATTGCTGTTTGTGCAGGACAGGGAATACAGCTCCTTCGTGCTTGTGGCTGTACAAGTCAAAAGTCATTGCCAAAAGTTTGTTTTTTCAGCTTTTTGTTTTTATGTCCTCAATTTTAAAGCCTCCTGAGTTCAAATCGTGAAATGCAGTCCTGTTTCTTCCAACTTCTTTTGTGACAATGTTTTGAAATAGCCACGCCACAAATGAGGAACTCTATGCTTTACTTCAGATGCTATCCTCAGCTGCTATAATTTACATAGTTCTGTTGACTTTCTACAACGGCTACACTGATTTGCAGCAACTAAGAATCTGCTCTCTGTTAATCACTACTCTATGCCTGAAATAGATATTGCAAGAATTTCCTGACACTGCAAATAGTTCTGTGTATCAGTTCTCCTGTAATGCCTAGATATCTCATGGTAAACTAAAAATCTGGGTTGTCCTTTCCTGTCTTGATCCATTAGGACCTAACTTTGTTGTGTGTTCAGTTGCTTCTTTTTTGTCTCATTATATCACATTAACACTGCACGGCTAACTTTTGATTATTTTATTTCCCTAATTGGATGACTTTTGTGTAAATCATTTAGATGTTTTGTATTGGCACTGTAATGGTCAGTCTCTTGCTTTTTAATGGAAGAGAATTCTCTTGTGAGGTATTTGTGTTTGTCTGTGACTCGTGTTTGCTCCTGAGACTATGAAAACAGCAAGAGCTATGGCACCAAGCATCCCTTCTTGCCATGATTCTGTGAAGCAGCCACACACAAAGAGCATGGGAGTGGCATGGCACAGCATGTTGTATGTCAGTGATTCAGTTGTGAAGGACATGTTGTGCCTTTTCAGATCTGTTTTCTGTTAGTTGGAGGTAGCAGAATGAGAGAGCTGTGTGTCATGAGCTTCACTGCCATCCCCCTTCCCCTTGGGCCTCCCTGTTGTCCATGCTCACTGTGTTTTGACATATTTCACCACTTAACACCAAAGAGAACCTAGGATCTTCTTGGCAGACAGTTATTACTTCCAAGTATTTTTGGTGGTTGTTTTTTTTTTTCATTTTCATTGGCTTCTTTGGTCTGTGGGAAAGGAACAGGAATGACTCCAGGGTGAGCATTTAAGAGAAGCAGGTACTAGTGCTCTGCAGAGTGTAACTGGAGTGGACCCCACTGACCTCCTTGCAGAGAAACCTGCACCTTTTGTGCTTACTCCTGAAACAGTCTGTGGAGAGCAATAGCACCAGTGGGAGTCCCTGCAATACCACCAGTGAGGGAGTAGTAAAAGACACTGAAAGTACTGTCTCCCACACCAGCCACCAGTTGAAGAATGACATTCAAGGTGTCAGTGCTTTCACAAAATAGCACAGATGGTTTTAAGGGCTCTCTTCACTAGCAATACGCACAGTTTTGTATGCGGTGCCAAAGAAAGTACGTCTGTGGTTCATCCCAGGTGGGGACATCCTTGACTCCTTCAAGGAGGAGTTTGTACTAGTAAAAATATGCTCTGAATAAGGTCAGGTATTTCAAATTCTGACATACAGGTACAGGGAGGCTTGCCTCTTTTAAAAAGAGGACTGTACTATGCAATAGAAATGCCATCTCAGAAAGATGGATGTTTGATAATTAAATGCTACATTGTGAAGTAGTACACAATGTAACACTTCTCAGTTTTGCTCCTCTGCCTTTCGGATAGGGTATCTTCTAAGTTTGGCAGGGTTTAAGCAACAGTGAAATGTGGGAGTTAGGATGAATAATGTACAAAGCCTGGATTGTTCACGCTGGAGCTGATGGTGATGTGTGTCTGAAATTAATAAGACGGTTTGCTTTTCTGACAGCCTCTTTCCATTTGAGAGAGAGGATTAGTGGTGTCCTGTCATCTGACCACCTAGTTAGTTTTACCTGCACCAGGAGGCAAGGGAGAGGCCATTAAGATTTTCCCCTCTGGAATTTCTCAGGTTAGCAAAGGTGTGCACGCCTGCTAGTGCCTTAAATAAGCAGAGCTATGAGAAATGACAGGTCATGTTTCACGTTAGAAATACTCCTTATGAGGCTGACGAATCACACAAAGTACAGCACCCTCTGGGACGCTAAGGAGGACGTTATTCTAACTTAATACATCCAGCATCAATCATGTACAAACCAAAGTATTTGCCAGGGTTGGGTTGTTGGGGGGGAGGGGGTAAGGGGGGTTGTAGGTTTTTTGTGTTTTTGGGTTTTTTTCTGTTCACCATCCTTCTGGGTGGCACAGCCTGTGTATACACTGAAACAGAGTAATGAAAAGGCTGTTATGTTTTTCTTTTCTGAGCCTTGTGTTCACAACCTGGCTTTTAATTTGTAATTCCATTGCGAGCCATCCCATGGCATTTGGGCCCCTCCCCGCTGAGGCCTACCAGCGCCAGGCACCCAGCTGGTAGCTGTGCTGGTCACTCAGAATGAGCCTGGTGAAAAATTCAAGTTATCTTAAAAAATGCAACCTTATGCTTGTTGGCTTATACTGTAGATGACAAGCCAGTGGTGCTTTGGTACAGATAGTTTGTGTCCCCAGAAGAAATTTTCATCAGTGGCCTGCTGTTTCAGGGAGGAAGGAAAGAGAAGAAGCAGGACAAGACAGCGGCTGACATCGACATACTGCCTGACCTGCTTTCCAAAGCAAACACACGACATGTTTGGAGGAACAGCATGCGTCTTCTGTACATACTTTTTTCTTACTTTTAACTAGACCTTTTGGTTCTTCATTCATCATAGGGTCCAGTGAAACATGAGAGAAATGTTGTATTTAAAAATTCATAGGTGGGGAAAGAGCATCATTGATAATCTAGCTTATATCTCAAGCTAAAGCTTTTATAGTTGTGAAATTTTAAGATACATGTTTATCTGAGTAGGAATTCCTATAAGGATCCAGAAGCAAGTACATATTTTGGAAAATTTTCAGCCCAAACAAGAGCTGCTTGATCATTTTCTTGCTGCCATATAAATGTCTACATTCAGTTTTGTGTACAAAAGTATGTTTTAGACTATTGTAAATACCAGGATGAATAGACAAGTACTGGGACTAGGCTTCATATGTCCTGAGCCTCTTCTTTAATTCAAAATTTAAAATTTAATAATAATAATAATAAAAAAGCTCTTCCCATCCTCACGAGCAAAATAAACTGTATTATGCAAGTGTTTTTGTATTCTAAGTAAAAATGACGGGATACAAAATTTCTGTATTCTGATTTTAAATTTCAATTGGAGGGGAAAAAATTGCCTGCGGTACTTGAAAGCCAAATATTGAATCATTTACTGAGTAGCAATTCAGAAAGCAATATGGGCTGTCAACAAAAATAAAAGTAGTTTAGTTTTATGCCTCTTAGTGTTTTTAAATGTGAATGCATTTTACCCACAAATATGCTGTTGCCACATTTAAATTTTAATTGATTTCCATTGCTCATGCTGCTAAAAATGCAAAGGAGAGGTGAAATTCAAAAACATAAATTTTATAAGGTGTTTTCCTACTCTTATTTTGGTTTTAATAGCTTTGAGTGTCATTGCCAACAAAGGTCATCTGTTTTTTCCTGAGATGTGGATTAAATGGTCTTTTTACAAGCAAAAGAAATAGAGATGAGAATTTCTTACATGACCATTCTTTTAGTGTACTTTTCTTAGAGAGTATCCTCAGCTGCATTACTAAGCTGGTAGTTATCAGTGGAGCCATGCTACCAGAGGCACCTTCAGGTCGTGGAGCAAGGGATGTATGGACTTGATAATATATATCTGCCCTTTTTTTTTCCTCCTGTGTTCTGCATTAATTCTCTTGTTAGGTGTCATTTAACCATCTCTAGTTTGTGTTTAATTTTTCTGTTTCTTGGGATAAATGAGCTCTGTAACTGCCTCTGCTCTGTCTCAGGCTGACCTTACAAAAAGACAGCCAGTAAGTGGCAGAACACTTCACATGCTGTACAGGGAAGGCAGTCCAAACCCTCTAGGACTCCCTGCTTGTCATACAGAAGGGTATGTGATAGTTTCCTAATTTTTTCTCAATAGCAATATAAAAAAAACTTTTTTTTGAGCTTGTAAATACTCCCCCCAATTACAAATGTGCTTTCATTTTAAAAAGCATAAGATACATTTCTTAAATGGGGATATATAGCTTTTTTTTTTAATTATTTTGTGTATGAAAAGGAAAAACTGAAAAAAGAAAAAACGGAAAAATTACCACGTAGATTCCCATTAAAAAGAAGGCATCCTATCCTAAATTTGATACCTACTTTACCTGAAAAATATATAATATTTACTTATTTACATAAATCTTATTGCAAGCTCTCTGAAAATTAGGTTAAAGACACACTCAGATTCGACCACTGCAGAAAACACGAGGAAGCATTTTTTCACTGGGATTTTTTTTTGAATTGTCATAGTTCCTCTCTGAAATGCAAGAGGCACTTGGTCCAACCCAAAAGTTTTGAAATGCAAGGGAAACATGTACCTATAATGAAGCAATTTAGCCAGATACTGTGTGCAAAAGAATGTTCTTTTTAAATTAATAATTTTTAAATACTTTTCTCCAAGCTGGGAAAAAAAAAAAAAAAAAAAAAAGAAACTTTTTCCATAATCTATTACAATTAAATCAGAAGAACATGACACAGTACCAGTAGGACTGGGAGAACAGACGAGGACTGTGGTCTTTTTGGATTATATCTATTTCCTTGCCAGGTGTTACCATCTGCTAGCTGTGGCTCTCAGGTTCTTTCAAGGTAACTATTAAACATAGGCAGAGAAGGACCTGAGTCATTAGTGCCTCAGAGAACATAGGAGACATGTAGTTTTATTAAGCTATTAGCATGCTGAACTTCTGTAGTGTCACCATGTAAACATGCTTTCTTGTTTAATTACTGTCAGTAGTGGGAAGCAAGATGAGATATTAAAACCTGCAGGGATGGGATTCTCAGTGCAAGCAGTCAGCATCTTGCTAGAATTTTTTTGTTGTTGTTGGAAAGGACACTCTAGGGGAAAAAAATGTTACAAAGCAGTTTTGTTTGCTTAAATCTATTTTTAAAAGAGTTCTGGGTTCATGGAGTGAAATGAAGTTAAAGGAAGATTGTCTTGGAAGCCTATGAAATAAATGTTGAGGGGCAATTTTTCATGAATTTTGCTAGGGCCTCAGCCTAGTATTTGGCTGATTATCCTTTCCTTTTAGACTCCAGCTGCTGCTCCAGAGTGTCCCAGATCTCATGAAGGTCTACCTGCCAGCCTTATGCAACTTTATTGAATGTTCTTGGACTACTAAAATGACATTAGATCCTTGTGTTTTAATTTCTACTTACTTTTTTCCTAATTTTTTTCACTGAAAGAAGGCAGCATATGTAGGCTAAAATCTCAGCCTCTTTATAGGTTCTGGTGAAACTGTAAGTGTGCTGTGCAAGTCTTATTTGCAAGTTTGTGTATTTATATGTGGAATTGACTTCAAGAGGTTATCCAGTGTAGTTCTGTCTTCTAAATCTGGAGCTGTGACGTCTACTGAATCTGTCCTTACGTACCCTCAGTGGTGGGCATTCATCAGTCCCTCCAGACAGTACTTTTCCTCTTCGCTGTATTGAAAAGGAATTTACTTTTTCTTCTAATGGATATTGAATTTTTCCCTCTGCATTTTAAGCCTAGTATTTCCTGTCCATTGCAGCATGGAGAAAAAAAACAACCCGCTCCATTACAGCAGCTCTTTTTTAAGCTGAAAGTTTGTTATGAAGGTTGTTCTAGTTTTTCACATACCTACTGTTTTCTAGACTTCTGACTGTTCTTGTTGAACTTCCCTTGGTTTTCCAGCTAGTTCCTGCCTCACCCAGGGCAGCAACATCCAAATCTGGGTGTAGCACACCTGGCTGACACCAGGAAGATTGCTTCACCTGTGTTTTATACAGTCCTAATTTGCAGCCATACAGTACTTCACATTTCACTTTGTGCTGTACAGTATGTTAGGTAAGCTTTCCTGCTTAACTGTTATTTTTCTTGCCTTAACGAAGTTGATTAGTCCTGTGCTTCCCACAAATCCACATTAAGTAGCTCAAGTTGATAAAAACCTCAGGTGATTTAAAATATATAACTGATTGGGCTAAAACCGACAAACAAACAAATACGACAGCTTGTAAACTAACAGCATGACTAGACAAAAAAAAAATGCCTTGCAGACTAGCCTGATGTTTGCCAAGTTCTGTCTCTGTTAGCATAGCATTTACCATATTGTTATATGAAACTTGGCAAGGGGATTTCATCCCTCCAAATCATTCCCACTTCTATGGTACCAGCAAGCCTCTGGTACCTCCTCTGCCTGGGCTTCACTTTTGCTACCAGATGACACCTTGGTTACCTGAGGTGACTAACGCTGCTTGCTTTTGGGAGATGAACTTCTGGAAGGAAAAGACTGTGCCCTTGTCTTATACCCATTCTGCATCTAAACAGCAAAGGAAGATGTTATCTGGAGATAAGCGGGAAGTGGAGGCTCATCCTTCTGTCAGTTGGAAATTTCATTGGTCCTCAAGCGCTTATTAAAGCTCAAAGCTTACACTAATCACATAGGTTTCATTTGTAAGCTTTTCCATTGTTTTTCAACATCAAGCATTGCTAGTTCTTATGAAACAAATATCACAAGAATACAGGTTTTGTTTGTTTGATTCTTTTTAAAAATGATAAGCCCCATAATCCGGAAATTTTGCAAGGATCTTAGTTCTCATTAAATAAAAAACAGGTTTCTAGTTTTGTTTTGAAAAATTGTTCAAAAGCTGGAATATAAACAGTTTGTCTCCTTTTCTGGCCCCAGTTTGTGAGTTCTGGATCTAGTTGATAAGTGAGCACTCCCAAATCATTGTACCAAGTGCAATGCCATTGAGTAGTATGATGTCATGGACAAAGTGTGAAACAAGTTCTCTGCAGGATTTTACTGTATTTACATGAAGAAAATGACTACATTTTAAGTTGGATGGCTTTCTGGCTTCACATTTTGAGCATTTCTAGCCCAAAATAATAACAGCTAATTATTTCTTCTCTCCTGGGTTACAGAAGCTTGAAGTTTGCCCTTTCAGAATATAAAATATCATGACTGATTTGTTTGGAAGTATTTGATTTATCATCATTAGAAAATGAGGAGAGAGACTGCCAAAAAAAACCTTTGATTTGAAAACAATTTTCAGGCATGATTTAATCATACAAAGATTTATAGTAATACAAGAGGAGGTGAGATTAAACAAACCTCACCTGGGAGATTTTTCCTGTCTGTAAACTCAGGGGTAGGCAGATATCAGTGGTAGTGCAAGACCTGTCCACAGGGTATGATTTTTCTGCTCCTTACCTATCTAAACATTTCATGTCCATGTCTGAGCTGGTCTGCTTGGGTTCCCATCGTGGGGAGAAACTCTACTTGCACAGACGGGTATGACCTCAGGCTGCATGAGGAGAAATTTCCTATAATGGGAAGTGGGGCGTGCAAGGCTGAGGGGAAACACTTTCTGCTGCTCCAAGGTTATAAAGGAGGTGAGTGTTTGGGTGGGTAGGAAGTTTACCTGATGGCTTTTCCCAACAAGGCTAGTGAGAGTGCCCATGCCCAGTGATAGGATGAGGGGGAATGGCCTAAGGTTGTGCCAGGGGAGGTTTAGGTTAGTGTTAGGTCAGAGGTTGGAGTAGGTGATCTTGGAGGTCTCTTCCAACCTAGATGATTCTGTGATTCTGTGAGTACATAATAGAAATTACTGGGGATAATCACAAATTTATTTCTGTGTTAAATGAAAATGAGATTTTGGGTGCAGTTGGCTGGCTCAAGGGGGCTCAGTGATATGCTTGCATGCAGCAGCGACAGACGTGGCTTGGCCATGTGAGGGGCTGGTTTCAGCTATCACAGCATTTCCTATAAATGCAAAGTAGTTGTTATAGAGCACTTAAGAACGGGTGACTACAAGACATAGAGAATTAGGGAGTATTTTCCTGGGGTAAAAATAGCAAAATCTGTTTTAGAATTCACATAAAAGTATTTTAATAGCCTCTACATTTGGCATGAAAGTGTTATTTTTACAATTGTACAATGTGAATGCTTGAAGTCCAATATGAAAATCATACTTAATCTATAAAAAGCTTGAAGATACTTATTCAGAGAATTCTTCTGCTTCTTTACTCCCTACTAGAATATACCTTACTATTTGTTTTCAACTTTTAATTAAGAAAATAAATTTCATTTTCAAGAGATTTTCTTTTTTTCTTCTTTTTTTTTTTATTCACCTATGTGTATGCACAGACTTTTATAGTAGAAAAGCTATATTTTTAACTGTAATGTGATGGTTTTAGGGACTCTGCAGTCCAATTTACAAGTTCTGCTCACAGATGTGGCCACCTTCTAGTGGCCATCTGAATTTCATATTATACACAGGCTCTCCTTGCATCTTGACAAAATCAAGAAATTTGATTCTACGAGCAAGAAGCCAATTTTCTCAGCTTGTACATGTTGTAGCTAAACAAGACTATAGGGTTTGTATTGAGAATACAAAATTCACTCAAAAGAAAAGGCAGGCTCTTAAGTCACTTTTGGAAATAGCACTTGGGCTCTTGATCGATTTTACTACTCCTGACCTTTAGGGGAGGCTGAATGTGGGAGGCCGAGGCCACAGTCAGAAGGCCACGAGCAGCCAGCACCATCTCTTGGAGCCAGGGGACACCTGCAGTCTTTGGACTTCTCCTCAGAGGAGATCAGGAGCAGGGCAGGGAGATTTCATATTCCACCCGGGTTTGGCACTTCTGCCACGGCTGCCAGGAGGCTGTGCATTTTGCTGAGCATCACTGCTCCCCAGGACACTGGGGAATAGGAGGTTACTGAGTGTAACCAAACAAACAAAGAAAGGAAAGCAGACCCCACCAAGACAGTGGAGCCTTAACTTACCTGGATACTAGGATAGGAAACAGCTACTTTCCATGGGTCATGATCTGTAGTGCTTGTTGGGAACAGACAAGAAGCATCAGGGTAGCTGGGGAAGAGAAGGTGAAATGCAGTGGGGTGAGACAGAGGCAGGATGCTGAAGACTAGAAATACATCTGTAACAGTGAGGATAAGCTGTAGAACAAGTTCCTTGAGTTATGATTGGTTTTACAAATGAAAATCCGCTCAGACTTATCACTGTGCCATGATTGAGAATGGTGGTGTTTTAAATCTTTCTCCCTGTTAGAAAACCTGTTTTAAGAACGTTTTGTCTACAGAATGGCATATTTCTCTTACAAGAAAACCTAGTATAAATGCATTCACGCTGTGTTTGCATTTGTTTCACAGAATAGTACAGCTTAGCATGCTGTGCAGGTGAGTCAAGTGGATATATTTTGTGTTGGGGCCACATTCAGGTGGGCTGCACTAGCACACCAAACCATTTCCTCACCCCAAGTTATCCTCCAAGGAGGAGAATCCAGCATAACCTCATGATTATGTCATAAACCCTGCAATATTTCTGCCCATAATTAGCTGAAGTGACTGCTACTTTTGCTGAATAAAACCTTCTCACAGTACTCCCTTAACTCATGTCTTCCATAACCATCACCAGAAGCCTTTGGTGAGACTTTTTTTTCAGATAACTTACTCATTTGTACCATACTGAAATGGAGTAGATATTTTAAAAGACTAAGTCATAAGCCTATTTCTTATTTTGTTCTTCTATTTTTTGTATTCAGCTTGTGGTTGCTTATCTTTTGCAGTGGCCATAGCTAGCTCCATTATAAATGACCAGAAGCATATAGGCAGATCTTCATCTCTGTTTCCTGGGATTTATTAACGTCTCTTCCTTTCAGGGCAAATATAATTTTAGTAATAATTCCACACTGGGCAGGGGAGGTTGGTGTCTGCACTTAGGCCTTTAACTATGGCATTCCAATTCTGAAACTCCCACATGCTTATGCACACACCTGCTGATCCCATAGGCCTTGCCATTGCAAGGGGTTGGTTAAACGACCTTCGGATTAAGCTGATCATGTGCATGCTGTATTTTGTAGTACATAGACAAGTGTTTCTGAGCCCCATTATGTAAACTGTAGTCACCAACTCTTTTTCATCACCAGTAGTTGTGCTGATATATATAGTGCCTCACACCATATTGTAACCAGAAAAAAAAAATCAATCCTTGCCCATTCCTACCTTGTATACTTTCTCATAAGAAACTTGAATTGAGAAAGTTCTTGTTTTTCCACACAGTTGTTATATAAATGTATCACACAGTACACACTGAACTTTGTTACCTGTGTAACCACAGTAAAATCTTTAATATATCAGATAAAAGCAAGGACACTATAAAAGGTAGCATGATTTCTATGTATTTCTGAATGATTTTCCTTGGTTCTCTTTTCCAGAAGCAGTCTTTTTTTCTGTGCTTCTTTTATGTTAGTTATGAAAGACGTGATATAAATCAAAGATCAGTTCATAGCCTAATTCTATGTGGTTGCACCAGGATAATTCCACTAGAACATCTCCACCTATATTTCTGGAATATATATATTTTATTTTTTTTTTATGAAGATGAACATAAATTCAAGTCACTGCAAATTACATAGGCATCAGTGAGAAGTCTATTTGGTAAAGCCTATTTGGAATATCGATGTGTAATGAATGGTAGCAATTCCTGATGTTATACAATAAAATTAGTGAGCTTTTTGCCATCAAATATGCAGCTTCTTTAAGAGAGTATTCCTTGCAGAATTAAAGATTCACTAAGCTTGTGTTTTTAACTATTTTGTCTTTTTGTCTTGAAGCCTAACTTTTTGATTCTGTACAGCAGATGTAGGCTTAGTAAATATTTCCAAAAATGTTGAATTGTGTAGTTCTGTATCAGGTCTCAGGCTCTTAGCTATTTGCAGTTAAAAAAAAGAAAAAAAAAAGAAAAAAAAAAGAAAAAAGAAAACAACAAAAAACTGGAAGTGCAAGTGATTGCATCTGGAGAGCATGTGGAGAGCATTGAGCCTGAAGTTTCAGCTAACAGCCTGCCTTCAATAGAGCTTAAAAACACATTTATAGGGAAGAGTTAGAGATCTCTTTGTGGAAGAGAAGATTCTTCTAAAATGTAATTTTATTGCTTTTGAATTTGGGTGTACTTTTAGGCATATCATGTGGCAACAAGGAGTTGCATGTTTTACAGGCTGGAAAGAAAAGCATGTCCTTTGGTTAGTTTTGAAACTATCACCCAAACTTTTGGATGTTCCTTGTAATAGAAGAGGCAATATCAACCTTTTTCTCTGCTTACTTGGTGCATGTATAACTTGTAATTGTACAGACCGCTTATTATCTCCCTTGCTCATAGGGGTGACCAAGTCTTGAATGGCTCTAGACTGTGCAATCACATTTTGCAGGAAAAGCCTTTCACAACACCAATAATAGCTGTCCATATATGTACCTATTTACGGCTTTTTTTATGCAAGAAGGCATATACTCTTCAGCGTGTGACACATCAGAGGTTTATCCTATAGCTTTTTAATGTTTTCTGCCTAATCTTTCTGTATTTACTCAGAAGTAAAAGCCAGTCCTCCCACGTTCTCTGGTTTTGAGGATGCTGATTTGATATTATTAACAAATATTCTGCAGTCATGGCTTTGCAATCCAGAAGGAAAACTAATGGAACTGTTAAGGTGGTTCTGCCTTACAGAGAAAAAAATAAAGGCATCATTTTGATGTAGGTGATACATAAAAAGATAAATGTAATGCTTGTTCAGATAAAAGACTGTGAAGGAGAAGGAAGCTAAAGAGACAATATAATTACTAAAAGAAATGAATAGTGGGCATAGGTAATTGAGTGGCTTGAGTAATTACTCAATGAGGAGGGAGGTTGCTACAGTGGGATAGGAACAGAATTTAGGTAGATGTTATTCCGTGTTTTCCAGGCTGTAGTGGAGCTAATATTTTCTTGGTTAGTGACAATGTTTTGACTGAGCAATCTGAAGTGGAAGTGAGTAGCCAGTTGCTGAGAATATTTCCCCTGTAGAACAGCCCAGGCTCGTACAAGAGCTTACCTAAGGCATAGAGGACAGCACAGGTGACTGGTCAGAGAAGACACTTGGACAAAAGAAGCCCCTCAGAACCAGCCTCTTTGGGCTGACCACCCTCTTGGGCCAGGCAGGCTTAACTGACAGTTTCCAAGGCTATCTGTTTTTGTAGGTGAACCCCCAACAGCGTTAAGGAGTGCTTGGTCATTTCTCCCTTGGGCAAAGCAGGACCCCCCCCTGCACCTTTTTTGCAGAGCAGCAGCACTGCTTGCTCACCTGGGGATTGCAGGGGAGTGGGCTCCTGTGTGTTCAATGCCATCACCTGGTTTGATGTGTCTTTTTTTTTTTTTTTTTTTGGTATTAATTACCTTTGAAATGCATCTCCAGTTCTCAGCAGATTGCTATGGCAACTCTGGGGGTAGGTTGCAGCAACAAAGCTGCAGGATTCAGCCACCACGCTCCCTCCTGCCCAGGGCTGGCCTTCATCCTGCTCCTCTTCCTCACCAAGGTGATGGGCTCAGGTCAACCAGTTGCCATCTTGTGCTACAGTGCCCCTTCTACCTGCAGCTGGACTGTGCTCTGGGGAAGGGTTCCTCTCCTTTTCATCAGTCTTCATACATTAAGACTTGAGGAAAGAAAAGGGGATTTTTCTGGTCTTCTGCTCTAAAACCCCAGATGGAATACCAAGAGTAACAAGCATAGTCATTCAGTTGCGAAAACAGCCCTCTCATTTCCAATTAAAAGCCATGAAGATCCTGTTTTCACACCCTTGCAAAAGAAGAACACTTTTGGCATCTCTGAAGGTTTTGTGAAGTGCCGTGTGAAGGCGATTGAGCAGGAAAAGCAAAATTGGTACTCGGGAGCCCACGTGGCCATGCTGGCGGGCCCTTTGCACTGCTCCATCACCCCCAGAAGGGTGATGTCTCCTCTTACAGCCCCACAGGTCAGGGCACCAAGACAGCAGCAGGACTCTGCCCTCCCACGCCAAGCACACCTCATCCTCTCCTGTCAAGAGAGTCTTTGGTGGGTGTCTGGATTTCATGGGGCAGCCGGTTAGCAGGGCTGAGATCTCCCCCATCACGGGGCATCGCACAGCCATGAAACCCTGGCCTATAATCCCTAAGCAGCATTTGGGCTTCCCAAACAGCCTGACAAGTACATTTCACCTTCCCCCAATCACCACCACCTTAGCATGAAGAGAGACTCCTTGTGTTTTTTTGAATGGGTGTTTAACAAGGAGCTTGAATGCAAAGGTGATATGACAAAAGGCTCCTTTGATTAGTTTGCTGCTTTCTGCTTCCTAAATTGTGCATAGAATTACTTTCTTAGCAAGCTTGGAGAAATGCTATCCAATTAAAGAGATAATATTCACTCTGGCATGTTCAGGGATTTGAAATAATTTTAAAATTTGTTATTTGTTGCTATCTTTAAAGTTGAAATACACTGGGGAACTTCTGACATTTTCAACATTTGACTCCTGTAAGAGGAGCCTTTAGCCTAATGAAATCCCTGTTCAACTCTGATTTTCTCTAATTACACTGGTGAGTGCATTTTTGGAATATAATAGTCTTAGGATATACTTTTAGAAAAATTTTGGAGAACCTTTGGAAACAGCTCTTGCATGTTAAAAATATACAAGCAATTATACACTAAAAACATAGCAATGTTTGGCTTTCTAGAAGGATACCTTACATAAAAACCTTCTGTATAAGCTTTTTATGTAGAGATAATTTTCTTTAAAAAAGAATTAAAAAAAATCACTAGATGAAGATATATTCTTTCAGTATCTACCAGACATGAAATGTTTTATCATTAATCCTTCATTTTGTATTCCCAAGGAGGTACTGAATTCACTGTAGCAAAACAAGCAGCTAACTGCTGCATTTGTCTGATGGGCTTTCGGGACACCTGAGAAAGCAGCTGAATCATTGTTTTAAAACATGCGGGGAGATTTCTACATTGTAGTTGCAGAAACCAAGCAAATTAGAAACAAGCTTTCTAAAAGCAGTTTCTTTATATGTCAATTTTGTGCCGTGTATTTTCAGTTTGATGATCAGAGGGAAGGGTTTCAAGTCTGATAACATTTGTATTGCTGAATATGGTCCTCCTCAAGCCTGGAAGAGACCTGTCTGAATCAAAAGCAGAGTTGGAGCAGAACCATATGACTTGCCTGGGAACAATCAGGCAAGCTGGTTTAACTGATCCCACACAGGCTAATTAATGTGTGAGGAGAGAGAACAGGTTGCCTTTGTTACATGGAGCACAACCAGGTAGGAGTGGGGGAGTTATCAAAATTTGAGTTGATGGCAGTGCCAGATGAGTAATCACATACTCCTTCTTTTGTGTGTGCTCATCTCCAGGGAGTTCCAAATTTGATTAAAATATCTCAATGTGAGCTGAATAATGAATAATCTGCCCTCCCAACTTTCCCTACCTGGCCAGGTCTTCACAATATCCATGCTGAGCATTGCAGCAAAAGCCACTCAAGAGCCTCAGCAGAACACATGCACAAGGAGGGAGATGCCACTTTTTGCTCAGTCAAAATAGCATCAGTTATTTTCTCTCTTGGGGTATTTCCTCTCTGGGGTATGAAAGTGTTCTTAGTGCTCTTTATCTAAAGTGGTCTCTACTGTTCAAGGTTAAAAATTTAAATTTGTTATGTTATAATTCTATACATTTCTGTTTCCTGTGAAAGCCCCAAATGAGTAAATGCATAAAAATTCCAAGAAATATGCTGCTTATAAAGGTGATGTAGAGAATAGTCTGTTGCAATAATAAAACTAGTTCTCTTTGAATATTTCATACTGAAAAAATTGGGTGATACAAATGCAAAAAGGTAGTGCATTACTTATGCTTTTCTTTTTCTTTTTTTTTTTTTCTTTTTTTTTTTTCCAAGATTGAAGTTCAAAGCATTAGTCAGGAGGCACAACTCTCATTTTTCTACTGTATAGTAATTGTTTCACTAGGAAACAAACTGGAACTACAGTTCCTGCTTCGTGATCAGGAAATAAAGACGTCTTTTCATGCTGTTCTCAGTATAAACCATGCAGGAGATTTGGTAGATTAAATTCAGCTTTATATGCCTTTGCAGCCATTACCTAACTTTAACTTATGACGGTACTAAGAACTGGGTTGAAAGGAACCTCACCTTTAAATGTATACCTAACGTTGCATGTATTTTGAATATAACATTGACTTCTCTTAGATGGGGCATATCCTGTAGAAATATGTGACCTAGTTCCAGTGTAATCCAGCAATTGTAGTGCCAATATACAGAAATTTGAATAACATTCACAGAACTCATGAATCGTGCATTGGGACATTAAATCTTAATTATATCTTGTGCCTTCTGAACTTATATAAAATTGTATAAATAACTATATGCTGTAAAAAATTTAGCCTGTTTCTTTCTTTCTTTTTTTTTTTCTTTTTTTTTTTTTTTGCCTGACCAGGGTTTTCCAAGCACATGCTTTTTTCTCCACTCTAAAAGAATGATGCACTTTTTTTTATATACCAATAACAATGGATGTTTTTCAGATTTTCTATAGTCTCACTGTTTTTGTCCTAAATTAGGCAATGTCCTCAGTCTGGGAGCAACAATTTGTACTGGTTTACAATGGTAATGACACAAAGTGCTTTACAAAAATAATTGCTGACTTCTGACAGAGCCACAACTCAGACTGCTCAGCCTTGGAGCTGTGGACTGTCACACCAGTAACAACTCTACGTGAGGTGAACTAGATACAGGTCAGCGTATGTGTGCACAGGTTATGACAGGATCATGTATAGAATAATGCTATTCTGCGTATTAATGCATATGTTAGTGGAATGGTGCTGTAATGTATGAGACAACCTTAACTACAATTTTTCATTTCTCCAAGTGCTTTTTAGTTTAAATCTAGTAGATTTTTTACTTACTTTTTTTTTTATTTATGTAATTAATTAAGGTATAGGTTTATTTAGCTATAACTGTAGTGTCTGAAGTCCACATAGGGAGAGCAAGGGCGCATCTGCACCTTTAGAAATATCATGTTAAAAGGGAGAACCCCTGCTGTAGATGACAACCCTGTCATTTCTGTGCTGCCTTCTGCTCACACAGCTGAGTGCAGCCCTCAGGCAGGAACCGCTACAGGGGACTGTTTGTGTTCTGGCATCCCACCCATCTTCCTCACTCCCCAAGTCCTGCTTTCTTGTTGTGCTGCTTTCTTGTACAGTATTTGTGCTCCTGGTGTTCTTTTGCTGTCGCTTTTAGCTCAGCAGGGGTGCATGGGACACTAAAGAACATACAGTAGTGTTGGAAAAAATGGAACTTGCCATTTGGAGACAGCATATTCCTGTATGTCATTTTGCTCTCGTCACTGTAGTGACTCAAGTCTCCAGCTGAGTACTGAGTGTCTACTGTCACAGCTTCCCCATCTAACCAGCTTCTCACAGGTGACCTGCAGATATGTTACTCAGGAGCATAGTGTCAGGACGCTGCACTGGATGTGTCATCCAAACCCTCTGTGTGGCACCTGTCCGTGACCCAAACAGTCCCGAAGGCTGTAGTCACCTTCCACTGTTGAGCAACGAGCAGTTTATGAACCTGCCAGCATTCCTCCAGGGGAGTCTGTGCCAAGCAGCATTTAGCCACGTTCCTAAACCATACCCCACCACTAGCTGCCACTAGATTTACTACAGAAGCAACTAAGCATGTTTCATTATTGGTCTAGACAATAGTTAGGAGCTTCTCGACAATGTTCATCTGCATCTCTTATGCATGTATACACAGATGTAGAAGTATTTACATAAAATAAGGTAAAAATGAAGGAAAGCAAAGAGATTCAAAATGCAGTTACAATTTTACTGATTGGCACTATAGAAGGAAGGTATGAAATTTCCTTTTCTAAAGCTTCAGTAAGCCTGCTAACCTGCTATGATACAACCTGGAAAGCAAATTTACCATGAAGTTGCCATGTAGTAAGTAGGCACCTTGTACTGAGCTTAGACAAAACATATAATTTAAACATTCATAAGAAAGTTAATACTCTCAAGTGGCAGCAGTAAAATGCTATGCACTTTCTTAAAAGAAAAAGTAAAAAAAAAAAAAAGGCAAAAACCCTAACTTTAATTAACTGTCATTAGTAATTACTGGTGTGTGCCTTTGTTACTTATAAATAGGTCTCAAAAAGAGGAAAAAGTTGCTTCACCTTCCATACCCCCCCCCCTTTTTTTGTTGCTTTTTAAGACCTTAATGGTTGTGACTCAGACATTTCTCTCAGGTGAGAACTTTCTCCTCTCCCTTGCTTATATTTTTGTTGGGTTTTGAGATATGTTGGCATGGCTGGAAGGGCCTGCGGAACATCCCTTTGCACTTGGGTTGGTCACAGCCATGATGCAATTTCACACAACTTTTGATGGGCAAAGGACCTCCCATTGCTACAGGTTTGCTCAGACATACAAGTCCTCACATCTTGCACGACTGTATTTGCTGAAGAAATATGTAGCAATTATAGCAAGCAGTTTTGTTTCTGTAACCTCTCTGGGGAAGTCATTTGCTGTAAAGCTATTCTCATAAGACAAACGTAACTTGGTTGATAAATGCAGTAAATTCACTTCATTTTTTTCATAGGGTTGCATTCAGTTTTGTATGTGAATGAGACTTTGTTTATTTTTCAAAATGTTTGTGAGTCTCATGAGTTTCATAAATTGTAGTGTCAATAAGTATCCATTTAAAAAAACACATTGCTTGTTCTTTGTTATTTGTATTTGTTCTCCTTTAAAACAAATATAAAAGCCCTATTCTGGAAAAGGAAATGTGCTGGAGATATTTCCACATAAATCATTTTGCTAATGCTAGTGATACCAAAAAAAAAAAAAAAAAAAAAAAAAAAAAAAAGAATGATTAGAAAATATAATCTTACTACCAAAAGCAGAATTTCTAAACTCTTAGTGTGCATCTACCCTAAATACTGAACAGTTGGTTATTATCAGTAAGTGTTATAGTAAAATAATAAAATCTATTTAGAAAACCCCCCAAAGTGTGCCAGTTAATTATATTCACCCTCAGATAAATAGGACTGTGTATAGTAGTACTTATCTTAAGAGGTCCTAATGAAAGGTGGTTAATGTACATTGTGACTAATCCAAACTGGGACACAGCAGAATTACTGGTGTTTGGTGATAGTGCCACAAAGGCCTTAGCAATACTACTGAATAGCCTTTTCAGAAGTATGTCTTATCAGGAAGTCTTTTTTTCAGAATCTTCTAATAAAAAATTTAGTTGCATTTTAGGTACATAAAAAACATCCTGTCCTACAGCCCTCAAAGGTAGCACAGTTCTTCCCCATATTCTCCCCACCAGACATGGGGTGCATTACCCAGCTGGCCTCAGTAGGCTGTGTGGAAGAGTAGGGTTTAGGTATCTGTTAGGTAAAACCCTTGCCCTAATGAAAATACCCCTCCTTTATTTCATAGCCACTTTCTTTCATGACAAGGAGTTTCTTTCATCCATGCCTAACCTCCTGTGTGAAACCAAACCTCCTAAATTATTAGCAATAAAATTATAGGAACAGCATTTGTGAGACAGCTGGATCTCCTGAAGCTGCAGAATGGACACCTACAAGGCAGCAGGAGCCTCTTTCACTTAGTGCCTTTTTCCAAGCAAATCCAAGAACATTATTTCTAATGCTGTGGCTATTAGTAGGATAAAACAGGCTGAAATGTGAAAAGCGTTCAGCCCAGTGAGTCTCCTTTCCCTCTAACCCAATGAGTCCTGCAATATGCTAGTTTGGGCTTTTGTTCTTTGAGGGTTTGTGTTCTGTTTGGTTTTATTTTATTTTCTTCTGGTTTTATTTGCTTAGGTTTTGGGGTTTTGTTTTCCTTTGTTTTCTTTCATTTTGGCTGTAGAATCAAATGTTCCTTATTTTAAGCCATAAGTTACATAAAAGCTTCTCTTGACTGCTATTCTTAGGACACAGTTACATAAACTGTTTTTCTCTCCCTTTTTTCCTCTTCTCCCTTTTGACATGTAGAATTCCTGGGAAAACTCGGAAGTTAAGGAGAGACTGCACTCTCTTTAAGCTTCAAAGTATTGCTCACACTGTAACTCTTCGGAAACTCATTTTGCAATTGCTGCCATGAGTGGACCAAATGGCACCACTGTTTCTATCTGGAATTCTCTCCCCCTTGAGCCTTCTGTCACTGAGACATTGCTTTTTTTGCTATCCCAGACCTTTCCTGGTATCCTCAAGAGTAAAAATGGCAATGCTTGGTATTTTCCTTCCTTTTTCATCCTGCCTTTAAAAAAACAAAACAAAACACACAAATAAAACCAACAAACCTCTTCAAATAGGCATAAACAAGTCTAACCAATCAAATAGGATGTAATATTTACATCTTTATGCTTTACCTAGATGAACTTTTTTTCTAAAGTGAGGATTACTTTATTATTATTATTATTAAACAAATCATCCCACAGCTTTTTCTATCTGGGATCTAAAAACACAGTGAATTTGGAAAATCATGGAAAATTTCATTTTATATTACAAATAAGTATAGTAGACAGCAAGGTAGGGTAGGTAGTGAAACCATCTGGGCTTTTGTAGCTGCCCTTTGTGCAAAGACTGCACAAACAGGCAGAAACTCTTCAGCAAACAACTTAGTTACACGCTGCTTATTCCACCTCTCTCTTTCTCTTTTCTTTGCTACCATAGGTCAGCAAAAATTGGTGGGTTCTCAAGTCCTAGTTTTTGGGTGCTTGTAGTGTCGGGATAGTTTCAAAATCATGTGTAGCTCTGTATCTTACCCTTCACCCAAAATGTCACAGTACTGGATTGACAGCTAGAATAACGAAAGGAGCCTGGTTGCATTGTGCCACCTCTTACTCTATTTCATACATAGGCTGTTGTCAGGGTACTTTTCTTTGTTTATAGCATGTTTGATGGATTTGGGGCACACTCTTTGCTTCCTTTCTCCTCATTCATGTGACCCTTTTCCAGAGTTTCCAAATGAGCTCATGTCTTTTAAGCATGGAGGAAACCAACCCACACTGGTTAGGACGCGTATTGTTCTCGTTTTATTGTGTTGTTTCTTTTTTTAGTCTTTGTTCTGTTCTGTTTGTTTGGTTTGTGTTTTGTTTGTTTGCTTTTTCCTTTTTTTTTTTTTTTTTCCAAAGCATATCCACAAAGAGAATATAAAGCTTTCTGCCCTGAATACCTCCTTTGCATCAGGGATGGATATTTCTGATAGAGCAAGATGTCACACCGAAACAGTGCCATGTCTCTGTCCTCGTGAGCATACCTGCATGCAGATTAGAAAAGCTTGGTAGTGCTGCAACTGTATGCCAGATTTGCTATTTGCTCTTGTTTGCATGATAGTATTTCTAATATACTAATATGATATGGAAATAATGGCACATCACCGTTCTCTCAACATATTGTATCACTGCTTTATCGTATTAGGCTAATACACTGCGAGAGTTGATAGCACCTCTCCATGTCAAATCGGATCCACTTCTCTTGGCACTGAACCGATTGGACTCAAAGGTTGATAAACTTATCATTAGTGAATTGGCACGACGGAGACTCAACTTCAGCCTCTTGCAAGCAACCTAATGGCCTCTGTTCAGAAAGTCAATTCTTCTTGAATAACTTTGGTGTTTATAAAAGAGAACAGACCTGTTAAAGCGTAGACAACCACATGCCTGGATATGAGGCCTCCAGGAAGGCGTCAAAGGGCATGGCCAGTCTTTTGAAGAATGCACCCTTTCCACAATGGGACTAGGCACAAGGTCAGATCCAGTCTACACGGAGCACATTTGCAGAAAATACTGCCCCGCATGGGAGAACGGAAGGGGAAGAGGGTCTTGGCAGGGGAAGGGCTTTGATGTCACTCAGTTTTGTTCTGCAGACCTCGAGGAATTAAAGAGGGATTCAGCCGTGGTAACGCTAAAATCATGTTGCTTTTGCTGAACTGCAGTGAATCCATTCAGGCCAACCAGACAGATTGTGCCATTTAAGCGTCCTTCACTAATGTGAAGGACTTTACCTTCCTGTATCATGCTAAACTAAGTGTATTCTGTCAAGTGAAGGTGTGCACAAACCTTTCAGAGACTTTTATTTCTCTAATGATTTGTAATGCATTACCAGAGGGTACACTGACACTGGTTTGGATGATGATGGAGAAGATACCTCACGCTGAGATTTATTAGACTCTGCAGATAAACTCTTCAGTTCCTCTTTATCTTCTAGGACTTAACCATGTGAGTGATGCTGCCTGGCGAAGCAGGCACAAAGTATTCTCTGTATAACACCCAGATTCCAGAGGGCTCTTTTGGGGCCAGTATTTGTCTGGATGTCACTCAAAGTAGATTCAGATATTGTATTTATCATTATGTTCTGGGTCCCCTATGGGTTGATGTTTGCCTCTATCTCTGTGGTTAGAATGTGGATTTTCCTTAATATATTTGGCTAAGGGTGTATTGTAATAATGTTAATGCTAATTACTTGATATTTCATACTATCTTATGGGGAGATACTTTTAAAAATGTATTTTGAAATGTTTTCTTTCTGTTTGCTCAATGTATGGTATTGCATTATGTTAATACCAATAAAATTATATATATATAGTTATATATATTTCCCTTTTATAAAGAAGTAAATTATGCTTTTTTGCCTCACAAACAAGAAATGTGCAGTGAATAAAATTACATCATTCTGCCTTACAGCAGGTGACAAAGCTTATAATAGTTTTAATATTCTTTTTTTGAAAAATAAAAAGTATAGTATAACAAACTAGTTGGAAATTCATCAAAATGCATGTTGTGTTTCTGCTTAATGGGACTGTCACGAATCAGCCTAAGTATTTAACAATGTTGTTTTGGCATCTTTAATTTTTTCCAATCAAAAACATACACTGTATTGCTATTATTGATTACAAAATTGTACTTTCATAAATTTTTGCCTGTTGGCCAAATAGACAAACCCACTGAGTTTTTATGACTCTCTTGTCTGTAGGAATTGATTTTTAAATTTAATTCAGTGCTCTTTCCAATGCTTGGCAAAGGCAGAATTTATTTTTTATATAAGGTTGCCTTTGAAGTACCTGCCTCTGCCAGGGCTGATAAATCACTGCTAAGTACATAAAGGTTCTGCAACCTGAAGGATGTATCATTAAAACCACGCTGGAATGGCCTGAAACCTGAGCCAGTCCTTTCCGTTCTGTCATTAAACTCCATAATTAGTTAGAGATGAAATGTTTTGGAAATGAATTAGAGAAGCAGAAGCAAAGATGTGAATCTTAAATGTCCTTTGGCTGCCATTCTGGGTTACGCTGATGGCTTATTTGCCGCCTGTAGCCAAAGGCCAGCATATATCTGCGCTATCATGAATTAGATTGTCTTCAGCTTCCTCTCTTTCTTTTCCCCACCCTTTCTAACATATTGTATTGAGTATCATTGTTTTGCAGAGGCATTCAGAAGGGCTGTAATTAGCAGTCCCTGGCATTTAATTGCATACACATTTGTTAAATATTTTTCTGTATGCCTTAAAATAAAGTATAGAAAATGGCAGTAATGTTTCTTTAATGAAGGCATTTGATTTATTCATGAAGTCAGGATTTTTGAAGGTGTTATTTTGGGCTTAATAAAGGAAATAAGCCAGCAAATTTTCAGCTTTGCCATTGTCTGTAAGGGCTGATGTTCACTTCCTTCCTTCTTTCGTTTCTTTTGTGTGCAAACACATTCTTCCCAATGGATGGGGAACGGACCTTTCTTCTGTGACGACTGTCCTGCCAGTTTTGAGAGAAAGCTTGATGCTAAGGTGCATGTATGTGCACAAGCTTATTGGGCGTTATGACACCTGATGACATGAGCAATGACTAGAAAAGTGACGTGGCATT